AATTACAACAGGTGATTGGAGAGTTTCTTTTCTCAAAAGCCATCGAGGTTTGGACGGTAAGCAACACTGCTTCCAGATGACACTGAGAATCACACATACTCTTTCCACCCAAACACACACGCACACACGCATGCACACACACACACACACACACACACACACACACACACACACACACACACACACACACACACACACACACACACACACACACACACACACACATTCTCTCTCATATGCTGTGCGTCTTCCTCTCTGGCTCTCTTTTTTTCTCCTCCTCCATGGTGTCTACCTTTCCATTGGCTTGGTCTTATGCAAGAGTGTGTATTTTTATGTCTCACATTAGCTCGGGGAATAATACCTCTCACTGAATGGTAGTCTGCTCTGGGGCCTTTTCAGACATTCAGTCACTCCTCTTCTAAGAATAACCAATGTGCGTCTTTGCCAAAAAGTTCCTCTCTGTGATTTCTTTTTTCACAGCGTTTCTCTTGATTGCTGTTTTTGTACCTTATTCGCTGATACCAGGGCTTTGAATTAGTTAGCAAACTGTGATCCAAATGAGAAAAGCAGCAATGGGAGACTGAGAGAAAAGGGTTGGGATCTAGGGCAAAACTTGGACCTGTGTCAACTCTTCTCAAACAAATTAAGAGAGCCAGAAAGGCTAGTCACTAGAGAATCTCAGCGGTGAGGCAGCAGACAGTTAGGTATGTGAAAAACTAGCATAAAAAATGATAGCTTTTGATCATGTTTCACAGGAGCCTTTTATGTGCAGTCTGGAAAATTTTAGCCAAACCTGTCTGACAGTTCACCTTAACAGAATGTCATTTAGGTTCGCAGAGACGGAATTGTTTCTCAATTGTAAGTGGCTGTTGGTGACTTCTAAAGAGATGTATGGCCTGCGCTGTAGAGGAGCAAATGTTCAAAGTCAAGCCTTGTTAAAGACTGGAGTCAAAAATGTAAAGGAAACTAAGCTAACTAAAAATTTGATTTTTTTGTATATAAATGAATAATTAAACATCTTAAGACATTATACTTTCAGACATTATACTTTCAGATTTCTTGGTTAGAGTAAAATGAGAAGATTGCTTGAAAAGAAGGAGCAGCCAGGACCAGGTTAGCATAGCTTAGCTTAAAGAGTGGAAAGAGGGGGGGAAAGGCTAGCAGAGTGTACTTCTATTAGCACCTTGATTACTTTTTTATTTTAGGGTTTTTAATGCCTTTGTTTGTAGGGACAAGACAGTGGATAGAGTCAGAAATCGGGGAGACAGTGAGTGGGGAAAGACATGCAGGAAACGGAGACACAGGTCGGATTTGAACCCAGACCTATAACTCATTTTGTTCTCCGTTTAAAAAATCCATAGGAAATCAATCCATAACAATGTCTAAAAATGAAGAAGTAATGGTTATAATGGGGTTTATTTCATTTCTTGTCTGGGAGCAGAAGCTTCCTTGAGTCACAGTGATGTATCTGGCCAATAATTGTAGACTGACATTAAATGTACAGACATGAGATGGGATGACATTTCTCATCTTAAAAAAGAATAAACATGTTCAATTTGGTAATAGCACCTATCAAGTGTCACCTTTGAAACAATATCAACGCTGTACTCAGATGGAACTTTTATCCAAGGCATTCCTTCACACATTAATGCAATTTTTTTAAAGCAGCCTGCATATGACAAGAAATAAAAATACTGATCTAATAGACGTACGAATGATGTGCAAAGCAATGTGAATCTTCAAGGAGTTATCACAAACACTCACGAATCTGCCTAAGAAATAACACAAACCTAATAAACTACTGTCCTTTTTATCCTCATGCTCATTAAACATTAATTTATCGCATGCCAATGAGACTCAGCTGCCTGTTTTTATACTGAATGTAGATGTAAACAATGATAGATTTGTATCAGAACTGTGTGAAACTATGAGGCTGAAAAGATCTTCAGGGGAAGTGATGGCATTCATGTTCTTTAAAAAGAAAACCCACAATGTTTGTATTCAACTTTACTCCTCAAAAAGAACGTCAAGTTTGAATTTATTAAGCTGTTCAAATCAAACATTCTGACACGCCACATCTGGAATCCTGAAGGTTTCCTCTTAATCAAATTGTATCTAAATGACTCGTGTCCAAATCAATCTGGGAGTTCAGACTGCTGAAAAGTGATCTGTGGAAGAGTCACTGTGTGGTCTTCATTAAACTCAATCTCTTTAATTATCATGCATGTGGATTTCATATTTGCATGAGTGACTGTTGCTTCATAGGGGTCAAAATATAAAAGAACAAAGTGCTGAATTGTTCCAGGTGGAAAAATCACTTATTGCAAAGTCCCACTGGAACCAATAAGGCAGGTCCATTTTCACTCACTAAATCCCCTCCACTGGGTGAAATGACTGATTTACAACATTGACCAAACTCATATAATTAAATATATATATATACATATATATTGAACTTTACTCTTAGACAGCTGCATGAAGAGTGCAAAAGTTTCTCATACTTCTCAAATACACAGAGAACACGAGCGTGCACGATGAACACTAACAGGTAAGAAAAGGTTTCAAAGAATCAGTTACGGACCATCATTGGGTTCATCGTCTCATTTGAGGCTGGATGTCACAAATCAAAGACTGAAGTATAAAACCATTATTGATTTAAACTGTGATGTCATCTGTATCACCTATGGTGTCATTCAGATATATACTGTAGGATTTAAAAGAGTTTAAAAAAAATGTTTGTGTCAATTTGTGCTTTGGCCAGTCGAGTCGGTTTCTAACATTTCTTTTTAGTCTGAACTCATATGAACAGCGGGGAGAGTGTTTTTTTTTCTTTTACTTCAATCCTAAACCCTTTATTTATTCAAATTAATGAAATTTGAAGTTAAAACATTTTTCTGCTTAAAAACAAAACAAAATTGAAAGTTTTTTTTTTTCAAAATCAGAATCAAAATCATGATCAATGTTATGTTACATGTATTTTAACGCAAAGAAATATGCAATGTGCGATAACATTTTTCATTGATGCAATAACGATATAAATAGCGATAAACAAAAAATAAAGAGTGCATATAGCTATAAGTCAGTTTCTTCAGCTATCTGCTTTTCTTAATGTTTTATACAATATCTGTGCTTTGCATCAAGTCCCTCCTGAATCCAAAATAAATCCCAAAGACCCTTTATTTTCCTCCACTTAACTGGCACTGAACTACTAGCTGATAGCGAGCTGTAGATTCATCTGACTGCATCAAAATGATTTGAAAGCATGAACGTTACTCAGGCCTTCATCCAATATGTGCAATAACACATGCTGAGGGAGAAAGTGGTATATTCACATTTTCTTGATTTATTGCGATAAAGTCAGACTTTTGCGATGTGAAATATTATTTCAAAGGGTCATATCATGATAAAGATAATATCAGGATTAATTGCACAGCCCTTCTGCACATCAGTATTTATAATCATCCGCTGTGAGTGTGTGAAGCTTGTCCATAATCTTTATTTATATCAATTTTTTCTTACATTTGATTAAAAACTGTGGCTTCTCAACTGATCAAGTTTAGAGATCCTGACAACCAGAGTTTAAAAACATCTCTGCCCCATCTCTTCCCTGTTAATCTGATGTGTTTTCCTTGAAGTAAGCCCTGCTGGTCTGTTGACACAGAATAATTACACTACTGTAGTGTATGAATCCAGTTGTGTACACAGCAGACCAGCAGGACCTCGCTTTGAAAATCAGACCAGGATTCTGAAAAGTTATGGAAGAAAGATTATGAGCAAGAGAGCATTTGTATCCAGAGCAAAGGCTTTAGATGTTATGTGAAAACCATTCTGTGTCATGTGTTCACATGGAACATGTATTACTTACATATGTAGGATGAAAAAGTACATTGATGTGTGTCCTGAGGGACCGCCAAACAACCTCTAACCTGTAGTAAGGGAATAAGTTAAAGTAACTGTAGATTTTCTTAAAGACATGCCAGGTCATTTTTCCATGTGGACATCTCTGCTTGTGGAAAACATAAATGCATTAGGATTTATAAGGATGAAGATTAAGCAATATCATGATATTTTTATTCATGAGAAACAGTAATCAATGCTTAAATAAAATCAAGATTTAATTTTGGGTGGAGTTAATAAATGGGCTCTTAAAGCATTTCAACTATCTTTCATCTCAAAGCTTGTCTAATTGCTGTACATGCAACTTACTGATTGATTCTGTGTTTGAGGATTTGTAAGCGATTAGTTGCATGCAAAGTGTTTTAACAAGTATTCAGTTTCAAACTGGCTCCAGCTTGAACGCTCCGCCTGCTCTCGTCGAGGATATTGACTTTCCCGCAAGTTTAAGTATTTAAATGTAGAGGGAGACAGATGCTGTATGTGCGCTGGAGGCAACCGCAAGAAACACACGTGTAAGGAGGATGGTTGACGTTGGAGTTTTACTATCTGTGCATCTTGCAGACGGACAGCTGTAGCATCACTGCTGTAACTGCACAGAGAAACACATAAAGCTGCTGCTGGGATTCTCTCCAAAGTGTTTTTTATTTAATGAAGAACTTTTAGGTTATTCGAAGGGCGCATCTGACGGCTGATGCGTAAAGATCCGTGCGTAAAACTAAAAATAGTCACCACTGTTCTGTCGAACAAAGCCAGGCAGGATTTATTTTTTTTACTGGAAACCTGAGTCAGGACCCGTATTACAGAGAGACTGATTGACAAGAGGAGGATTTGATGGAGGTCTTTCAGTGACAGCGACACTTCTCCCGGACTTTCAGTTTGGATTGGCACCGGAGCGCCTTTAAATCTCCGGGACTCTTTTTTTTTGTATTGTAGCGCGGAGAGTGGATGCTTTACCTGCGTGGGAACCTGCCAGTTTTGGATCCCTTAATTGGCATGGCTATCACCTTCTATGTGTAACCAGAGGGAGATAAAACAGAGCTGAAATCCCCATCAGAAGGAACTTTATTTTCGAGAGCTTCCAGCACCGACTCAGCGGAGTATTCATGAAGCAATATTTGAACTATTACAAGATGAGGCTGAGAACATCGAGGTTGGGTTATCTGTAAGTAAAAAGTTGTGTAAACATTATATAAAAGCCATTGTATCTCGTTGAATTTGACACAGGATTTAATGTTTTCTTTTATCTCTCCTTAGGTTAATTCAGTTCACGGCGCTTTGCTTTTACGCACAGGTAACTCACTTTTTCACGTCTATAAAAAGCATTAATGTTGCATAAAGTTCTCTAAGTAGGTAAAAGTTAACAAGTATGCAGGCGCCGTGCTTAGCGGCTTATAGTTCAGTGTCTCTACATCTGCAATAGGCTGCAATAACAATGAAAACATTTTATTACGAGTGCTATGGCAATTGGCAACATTTCAAACATCTTGAAAAGAGGTAAGCTCCAGCCTTAAAGTGATTGTTAAAACACATGTGGATAGAGAAGGGCTGAAATGAGAAAAAAAGGAAGTCAAGAAGGGGTGAAAGATCAACGGTGGTAAAAACAACCTATCAGAGAGAAATGTCATCCCCGAGGGTCCATGAAAGCATCTCCAAAGAGAAATGTCTACACATCAGGCTACATGTTTAAATAAATGACAGAAAACAAAATAGATGGTTGAACGAGTTTGTGTTGAATGACATGATTAACTGTGAGCCCAGGCCTTGGCTCTTCTTTGACTGGCAAGTTTTAGTCTCCTCGGAGTTGACATTTCTCAGACTTACCTAAAATAATAAAGTAGGCTTAACAATAAGCGACATTAAAAAGTAATTTCACCTTTCATGACATGTGTTTCCTATTGTCCGGCAGAACACTGAGCAGTCTCCTCCTAATTTCAAGCACCATGTCACGGAGCAGAGCCGGCTGTCGGACCGAATGAGCCGCAGGTTGACACGAACCTACCAGCTGTACAGCCGCACCAGCGGGAAACACGTCCAGGTGCTGGCCAACAAGAGGGTCAACGCCAACGGAGACGATGGAGCAGTGCACGGTAAAAAAAAAAAAAAAACATCAATTTAGCTTAGAGGAAATAGTGGTAGTAATATGTTTTTCAGCCCATAAGACTGTTTAGAATTTAAAAGGCGACAAATATACAGTTCGTTTAACTAATTTTCGTCTTAATGTGGAGCTGTTAAGTTTTTTTTATGACATATAAACATATCGCGAGAACGTCATTTGAACACCTCAGGAAGTTACCTTCTGAATTTCATGCTGAATAAATTACTTACCTGAAGTGGCTTGTGTAAGCCCATTTTTAAACATAGTTATAAATAGCTGAATGAAAGCTCACACATGTTAATCCGCTCAGGGAGGCCATTTTTATTGGCTCTGAAATGATGAAACAACTTTAGTCAAAGCCCCGTGTAGGATAGCTAGAGCAGTCAAAGCTGTCGACAGCTGAAGGCCATCGTTTCTCACTTTGCAATGCTTTTAAACCTTCGGGAAAACGTTGAAATTGGACACATGCTCACCTTACAAACAGGGTTATTATTTAGGCTGCATGCAGTTTCACGAGGTTGTGTTGAAAAGCAGTTTATAAATATTTAAAGTGGTAGAATTTGATAGAAAGGGGAGAAACAGAAGCAGAAATTTCAAACATAATTAGTATGAATAAGGCCATCTTTTATTGTTAATTGCAAAAATGTAATTCTTTAGTATTGGCAGTTTAAGACCCACACACCTGTTATGAATGACTTTAGAGAGAGACCTTTGTCTTTATTTTTTACTGCACTAGCATTAGGTTACCAAAAGGCAACAGAATCCCTGTCACCAAAGGATTTTTTGGTGTGTTGAGCCATCTTTCCACCACAGCTACGCACCATCCATCCACTCCTTGATGCCTGCCTCTTGGAGGCTGATTTTATGAGGAATTTTCATTGCATTACAACTCAACGTATGACTCAATTTATAAGGAGTGGTGAAGTCAGCATCTTCGCTTTATACCTTTTCCTCTCCCAGCGTCTCCTGTGTGCTCTTTTGTCTTTTAAATTTCTCGGCCTACACACACACATTCTCACCGAGGCACAGACAGAGAGAGAGAGAGAGAGAGAGAGAGAGAGAGAGAGAGAGTCAGTCAGTCATGCACATATTGGCCGCACGTCCTAAGTGGGTGTCACTTTTGTAACCAGCCCAAACCTGACCGCTCTTCTGTGCTTGTGGCTGTGTCCCTGACCGCAGTATTCTCACTCTCCTTTATCCCCAGTCTGAACTGCATCACAGCACGGCATTTATGGACATTCAACAACAATCACACTGTCAAAATCACTATCATTTGATGCTATTTTGGACAGCTTGCATGCCATTGTTAAAGGAGGCTACTGGCTCATAAAAGGGTTAAAAGTGAAATTTATACGTGGTCTACATGATCCGGGTCCACTGGTCCCGATCCTTTCAAAGCCATTTAATGCCATTTAAAGATGCCATGATGTAATTCCACTTTATTGCAGTGTCTAGCATACATAAAAAGGATATATTCACAGGAAAGATGTGCAGAGCTCATTTGTCTCACTCACTGTAACATCATAATCTGCATGCCTGCACCATGTCATCTCATTATTTCCGATCTGTTTGGACTGTGCAGCTAAACTGGAGGTGGAGACGGACTCTTTTGGAAGCCGTATTCGTATTAAAGGGGTGAAGACGGGATACTACATATGTATGAACAAGAGGGGAAAGCTGATCGGCAAGGTAATCTGGAATTCATAGTTCTGTGGCTGCATTTGACTACAGCAACATCTTGAATTTTGTTTGTTTCTTAGAAATGTTACTCCAGACATGCAGCTCATGGCGACACATTGTTGAGACACATTTGAAGCCAGAACAAATTTGATTTGGAGTTTTTCAGAGCAGGCCCCTTAAGGTTTCTAAGGATAGATGATTGGAAATAAATACAATGTTTAACTCACTGGATATCTCCCAAATAACTCAACTTTTCCCACTTTTTTTTCTTTCTTTCCCAGAGGAAAGGACGAGGCAAAGACTGCATCTTCACTGAGATCGTTCTGGAAAACAACTACACGGCACTCCAGAACGCCAAGTACGAGGGCTGGTACATGGCTTTCACACGTAAGGGCCGTCCAAGGAAGGCCTCCAAGACCAAGCAGCACCAGAGGGAGGCCCACTTCATGAAGCGGCTACCCAGGGGGCACTTGCTGAGCGAGAGGAGGCCGTTTGAGGTCCTTCCTCTCGCCGTCCCTGCACATCCTTTAGGAAAACGGACTAAACATTCCCATCACCAGCGCTCAGGGGGCCGCTGAGGACTGCAACCACAGAGGAAGAACTGTGGACAAACTAGCACACAAGAACCACTACAAGAGAAATTAACTGTAACAGTCAAGTGCCCATACACGTTTTGCCTCATTTTGTGTACTCTGTGTAATTCTTTCTACTGGTTTGTATGTAAACATTGACTATCTAATCTGTTAGTTCATTCAGATTTAGCAGAGATTTTCTTATGAAATCAAAGAGGATTAATGTACACAAAAGCTCGACTATGTTTTCATTTATAGAAAAGAGTACTGTGGGTAGACGTTGCTGCCAGCTCAGCAACAAAGAATCTTTAACGAGTCTTTAATGGGGTACAATGAAGAGAGACACGGCAGCTATCAGTGGAACTTGTGGTTACAGCATCTGAGTCTCAGTTGACATGCTTTTATGCCTTTAGGAGGCTATTTTAACCTGTTTTTTTTTTTGTTTTTTTTACATATATGAATATATTTTTACTGTAAAAATGTAAATGGTGTCAAATGATGGAAATATTTATTGTAGAGTGTATATTAAAACCACTAAAGAATCCGTACTCAAGCTGCCTGGCTTTTCTCTTGTGTGGTTGTTTTGGGACAGAAAGCTAGCATACATTGTTGGTCGCCCCCAAAAACAGTTTTTTTTTTCTTCTTCTTCTTCAAACTGGAGACCCAGATAACTGAGGGGCAATATCTGTGACAGGCTACTGAATTCAATGTGCTCAGCAAGTGAGACTTGGGCCTGAATGGCCCAGGCTATGCATTAAAAGCGATGAGGTCAGCCCACCATTTTGGCCCAAACAAAGGTTACCACCATGTAGTTGCATTTCTCACGATCGCACACCGTAACCCTCTGATCAAATGGGCCCTTTGTGAAACCTCATATAAAAGGGCATGTTATACAATAGTGGGTTCGAATAATAACACGAGGAGGGGTCAGTTATCAAAAAGAAGCCAGTCACACAGGGAGGGGTAAGGGGTTGCAAGGGGAGGGGGGGGCATCAGGGTCTGTGTGGCAAAATGTGGCATCGGCTGAAAGAGGGGGAATGGCTGGGAAGAGGCATTCGGGAATGAAAGGGAGGCAGAAAAGAAACCCTCTTCCCAGAAGCAGTTGAGCATGACCATCAGAGGCCAAACGACAGGGGAGGAAGAAGACCCCGAACAGAGGGACTCCGTGCTCTCACAGTGCATGAGCTGGATGTCCAATTTGTTCGTTTGTTAGCTTCTGCAGGAGTTTGTTTTGACAGCAGCGCGACTTCGGAAGACTATAAAACATTTTGAAATGAAGACTTTACAACGGACGCTCACTATTTAGTGGGTCTGATATATTAACATAGTGCTAACACAACCTCTGTTTGATGAAATCCTGAAACAATACCTTACCCAAGTGTGTAGGAATGTGTTTTTGTTTGTCAAAAGTAAAAAGAAAACATCAGAATTTTCAAAACAACAGGACAGAGCTCAGGACAGAGCGGGGTTTAAGATGCTTTATGGTATTCCTATTCTTTCCATCTGGAAGAAGACAAAGCACAATAGTGAGAGAGGACTGTGGTTTTGTCTCTGCTTTTTGCACTTGCTCTCTGGGTTTGGAAAAGTGGTCGAAAAATGCAAGGAATCACAAGGTTGAAAAACGTTCTATAATTAAATGCCATTGTCTCTTTTACACAGCAGTGTTCTTTTTTTATCCACTGTCTAAGTATTTCTGACTGGAAAGTGTTTTTTTTTTGTGCATTTGAGAAAAACTAAACACATAACCAAATACCTTGAAATGTCTACTTTATGTTATTTCTGTCAAATTTAAATCAGACAGAATAAAAACAAATCAAAAGCAATAATTTGTTTTTGTTATAAAATGATATAGAATACATTTGTAACAAAGCCCTGCATATATTGCACCTATTTCTAACTTGTGTGTTTGGGCTTTTAGCTGCAGACCACAGGGTCAGAGTGACACTACGCTGTAAGGGGAAACAGTAACACTATAGCTGGCTTGCTGTAATGGCTTTCAGGGTGGCCCACTACATGCAGGGAACATTAGGGTATTCAGTTAACACAAATGGGATGTGCTCGTAACAGTGACCCTGGAACGAACAGGGATGAGGCATTGTGTGTTTTGAGTGTTTTACAAGGACATCCATGAAAGGTGGGGGTGGTAGGTTATGTGACCCCCATCAAAATTGTTCCCTTGTAGGTTTGGTAACAAGAAGCAAAAAATAGACATTGTTCTGGTCCCATCTTAAAATGTTGTAAATGCAAATAACTCTCTGCGAAATCAAACATTTGGAAAAACATTTATTTCTCAGCTAAAACGTTGAAAAATAGTTTGGAGACTACATACAGTGTTATTTATTTAACTGAATATGTCTGATCAAACAAGAATGGCAGGACAACTTTCAACCCTGATAACTACTAATTAGGCCTCAATTTGTTAACACAATGAGGTAAGCATGAGACCATTGGAAAGGCACTGTGAAAAAGTCTTCCCATAATGCAGGGCTCCACTAAAGAACAGGAAGAGAGAGCTCAACGTGACTGCAAAATGACACAGTCGAGTTCGGCTTTAAACGCACGCAACAGAATTATTCTCCTACTTCTGCACTCTGAATTCACTGAGTTTTGCAGTCCACGTCCCCTTCACTGGTCCCCTTCAGCTTCTTCAGCTCCTTCAGAAGCTCGTGTTCAAGGGTTAAGATCTCCTTGGGTTTCTTGTACTGGACCACAAAGAAGAAAAAATAATTACTTCACCATTCTCCCCAATCCTCCTCCGACAAATCCTTCACTACGGACGCTGAAAGAGCGCGCAAAATATCACAAATGATAAAAGAACAAGTGATACTTACAAAAAATAAATATTATTGTAAAGTGAGAAAAACTTAGAGGTAGGTGAGAGGTGAGGGAAAACTGGAGTCAAAAATCAAAGAGATAAACTCCTTATTGTTATGATTTTCATTAATATTCTGTCACAGAGTCCAGCTGCATTGAAACAGATATTGTTCAATCAAATTTGAATGCAAGTAAAGGTCAAAGCTTTCAGGATGTTTAGCTGAGATATTTTTGCAGTTGTTCAGATTCATGAGATGATGCCGATTGATCAATGCAATTTAACACTTAAAATCAAACACGTCTTATTATCAGCCCTTAATGCTTCCATCTTTATTTGGTAACATTAGAGCTACTGATTCGTCTTTTTTTCATTGTTGTGTATGGACTTACGCTGACAATCAAAGTGTTATTGGCGTGAGTGAAGCTGAGGGCGGAGCTGTCCAGTGGCAGCTGACTGCGATCCAAATCAGTGATGCCAAACTTCTTATAATACCTGGGAATACATGCAGAGGATGTCAAGGGTTTATATCGCCACTGCATTACAAATGTATTGTAAACAGTGCCATCTATAGGCAGCACACAAGGATTACATTGTCAAGTGTACACCACAAGAATGGAAAAAAAACAACAACAGTGTTTTGGAGCATATTTACTTTTTGTTTGAGGTTTTTATAATGATGCTTCTGTCAGACGGCTCCACAGACACACAGAAGACATCTTTGGGGTAGGGAAGGTTACGAATTCTCCACTGAAAACTGCTCTTTGTGTCTTTACGCATGAACACCGGCTGTGGACAAAGGAACATTCAAATTGTGTTAAAGGACATGATATTTACATTTGTTTTCTCCAAAAGCAATTCATGTGAACAAACATTAAACAGAAATTAAAATGAAATACAACAGTCGTACTTAAAGTCATATAAGATAACAGAAGAAAACCTACATTGGAGCAGTTCTCCTTGATCACCTCTGTATCTACAGAAGTGACAGGGCCTGTGAATGTCTCCCCGACCTCGACCTCCCATGGGCCCTGAGCTCCAAGCGTGCTTTTAGTGTGCCACTTTCGTACTGAAAAGTACCAAAAGTTTAGATTTAATAAATAAAATGAATGCCTTTGAAATTCAGAATATCTGCAGTTACTGTCTGTGCCTGCTCCCATGTAAGAACTTCAAACCTTGTTGCTTACCAATAAGCTCATCGGTTTTCAAGTCATACTCTTCTGCCATTTCTTTCCCATCTTTGAAGAGGTAGTGGATCTTTCTCTTTCCTGGAAGATTCAAAATACACAATTAAAAAAACCTAAAAAGTTATTATGAAAAACCTAACTAAAAAAACAACAGTAGTGTGTTTCTATTAAGTGCCAACTGAAGTCAATAATTCAGTGACCACAGTATTGGGGATGGCGATTTATTGAAAAGAAAAGCATTTTAATAAACAGGAAAAAGTGTGGCTCGATAAAGGTTCTGTTAAGGCTGATAAGAAAAGAGCATCAAACACAAACCCAGAGAGCAGTGCGTCATACTTTACCTCTTTGTCTATAACAACGTCCTGTTTTTGATAAAACAATATGTTTGTAAGTGTTTTATGGTGTTTAGTTGTAACTTGTGTAATGTGGTTCGTATCTCAGGTGTGTCATTACGGTCATTACTTGTTGCCTGGTAACATCAGGCTAGCGTGTCAGCTCGCTAATGAACTTACGTTATGAAGCGAGAAAGAATCAGACAAAATAAAATCTTTCCACTTAAATGAACAACATTCCTCCTTCAAAGTTACTCACCATCGGTTAACAAGGCTGTTTTCTTGGATGATTTTAGGACATCGATCCAGCTTTGCACAGCCATGTTTCAAAAGATGTCCTGCAGCTCAAAGCCACTTCCGCACTCAAATGGTAACCACAGCAACGGAGGTAATTACATGTACTAAATAAGAACTGAAATGATAAAATACACTATTTTAATAAATACATTTATGTAAGATAAGATGTTTATAAACATCAAAGTTATTTTGGAATTTTAATTCGATTACAATTGAAACCACAGTCTAAATTAAAACCATTAAACCGGACCAGTTGACCCGGAAGTGAAGCATTTGAAAGTTGTTGGATTGTTGTTCGTATGGTTCCATCACAACAGGAGTAAGAAACAAATTGTTAACATTTCTTTAGTCTTCTACCTTAAATGTGCAATTGTGTGGATATGTTGCGGTTAATTAAAGCTCAAATTATATATTTAATGAATAATGATAACCGAAAAATTCCATATACCGACTGTTTAAAACGTTAGCATTAGCAATAAGCTAACATTATTTTACTTCACAGATTTATTTCTCTTTCAAGAACAACCAAAGTGTCATGTCGATCGATATCTGCACGACACGAGCCGATACTATTCCATTAAAGCAGCCAGTACTGTGTTCTGCTTCAACACTTTGTTCTCTGTTTGTCTCTTATTTGTCTCAGATATCTACTATCACTGTTTTTACTTTGAGTCATGAGACATAAGAGATGTCATCAACATTTAGGTCTACTTTACACAGGTGTGTTAAGAGCACTTTAAAGGGCAGAGTTTGATTTTACACAACATTTATCTGACAGCTGAGATAGTAACTTTGGAGGTTGATACTTAACTTTTATGTTACTGATCAAGCAATTCATTACAGTGTCTACTTAATGTATGTACCACACTATTTGATTTTCATTTAAGGAGTAAGAATACACTCATCCTTGACTAGATGCCACAAGTAAATACTGGTCTGGGTGCTAATTTCCAACCCTGCTACTTACACATCGATACATTTTTCATTATAAACCAGGATAAAATAAATGTATGAAACAGACAGGCTTGCTTTTACTTTTGACCCCTCAGTACATCTGAGTGATAAAACATTCAAACTTCATTCATATTTTGAATGCATGATGGTGCGTGTGTATAATATGTTTACAGTCTAACTGGTTGGATTTGAAACATCTAAAGAATTTAATAGCTGGCAAAAATAAAGTAAGGGTCAGCACATTTCTCCACTCAGAATAGGGTCATCATCATACCAGAATTTTAAACTTCATTTTGATACTATTAAAAAATCCAATAATATCTGTATCTGTTTTAATACCATAGCAACTAACATTAGGAGTAATGCCATATCAGGTACTTTGTTGTTTTTAATGAACTGCAGGCAAACTCCTGCCAGAGATAGTATCGTTTTAAAACATGTGGTTTCGCAAAGTATCAAAGTTTTGAACATTTTAACAATCTTAAACTGAACACACTAAAACAATGTTAAATAAGTATATAACGCTGTGCTATTAGTAGTAAAAAATGTTTTTCCCCCACAGTTCTAGATAACCTAATTACTACTTCATGTCACAGGCCTCTGGCACGCTCCTTCAAAAGACAAGATGGAACCTCGACATGGGATTATGAAAGCCTTTCCCAAAGTGAAAAGAGCCAAAGTGTTTCAGGGAAAGGATGTGCCTCCAGCAAAGAAGAAATCGGATGATTGTGAAGTCACAGGTTGTTACAGTTTGTAGTGCATGTGTTTGAGAGAGAAAGATGGACGTGACGTGTAAGAGCCAAAAAAGTGTCTAGAAGCAAGATTATCAGAAAAACAAACCTTGAAAACACCAGATTCACATGTTTGCATTTTGACGTGTCTCTCTGATTTGTCCCAGGAAGTACATTTAATGGGGTCACAGTGCACATTCTGCCGGCTGGAATAGGAAATGCAAGATGTCAGATCTTCCAGAAACAAATTCAGCAGAACGGAGGACAGACGGAGAGTTCTCTGTCTCCCACTGTCACTCATGTTGTGGTTAATGACGACATGGACAGAGACAGGGCTCTGCGCCTACTGAAAGTGGATAGTATGCCCTCTGGAGTCCAACTGGTGAAATGCAGTTGGTTGAGCTTGTGCATCAGTGACAAACAACTTCTGGATGTTGCCAGCTACAGCCTTCTTTTACCAGAAATTTTAGTGCAGTAAGTAATAATACTTCATACTATCACTGTCTTTTGTTGTTTGCCACACATATATTGTTTGTACACTTCACTGAAGCAGTCATGTTATTTTAGACTTAAATGAGTCATCAGTTTTGCAAAATCTGTTCATGCTATGTCCACTTAGGGAATCTGTAACACGACATGGAACCATTAAAGAAGAGCTGCCACATGTCAAACCTGCAGAAGAAGCTATCACAGCTTCTGATCAAACTAAGCAAGAGGAGACCGTACATGAGGTAGGTCCACTTCCTGTGCATAGAAAAAAACGTTTACAGGTTTCAAAGCAAGACGTAAACACATTTTGTTATTCTTGTTTAACACTCTCAGACAGTACCTGACACTGCAGAGGAAGTGCGAGGAGAGGAAGACGGGGTCTCTCAGGGTGACCTAGAAGCTCTCATCACTGGCCAGCACCCCACAGAGGAGACCCCTGGCCCCAGTCTGGACCCCCGTCCAGACTCTGCTGCTGAGAAGGTCATCTCAGGGAAGTGGGTCTGTGCCCATTCCTCTCATTCCAAAACCAATAACTTCAACAAGCACCTCACAGACAAACTAGAAGTGTTGGCCAAAGCCTACACTCACCAGGGGGACAAGTGGAGGGCGCTCAGCTACTCCAAGGCTGTCAACGCACTGAAGAGTTACCACAAGCCCGTCACGTCATATCAGGTGATTTAATAGTGATGATCCTTAATGTTATGGAGGGAGGAAATGAAGTACCATGCAGTGATTATGCGGTTTGTTATCAGCACACAGTACATACATCAGCATCGGTAATGGTATGAGGGTGCATTAGTGCACATGGATCGGTAACCTGCACTTTCATGACGGCTCCATTAATGCTGAACCAAAGATACAGCTTTTTGAGCGACATATGCTGCCTTTCTTCAGGAAAGGCCTTGCGTATATGGTCAATTCAATGTCAAACATCATTCTGCTCATATTACTGCATTACAGCGTGGCTCCGTAGTAAAGAGTCTGGATGCTAAACTGGCCTTCCTGCAGTCCCAACTTGTCACTAATTGAAAATGCGTGGCTCATTATGAAGGGTAAATTGCAAAACAGGAGACCCTGAACTCTTGAACAGCTGAAATCATACATGAATACACACAAGAATGGAAAAACATTCCACTTGTAACGGTTTGGGTCCATGCCTCTTGGTTAATAGTGTTTTGGAGAGCGTCAGAGGCAGTAAGTGAGCCAGAAGTACACAACCACATGTGTCTGAGGTTTCCACAATGCTCATCGTCTATTACAAACTGCACTTCGACCTTACATAGCGCACTTGTACGGCTCCTATTTTATCCTTCATTAGCAAAATAATGTCCACACAACCCCTCACGTCACTGTTGAGTTGAGAGGCAAAAGCAAAGTAGGAGCTTGGTTACAGGCATCTGTCAATGAAGGAATCAATCAATCATTATTTGTATTGCACCAATTTGGAGGTTGGAGCAGACTGTGAATGAGGACGGCAGTGGTTGTGGGGGCGACACAGTCCGATGGTGGTGGCTCGGCGTCAGAGACGTCGGGTGGTATTAGTGCCAGATTACCTCACTGAAGGTTGGGGGAGCTCTGTCTACTCGAGAGCCCAGCCTCTGCTGCCGGGACAAGGCCTTCTGAGCTGGGCAGAAGTGCTGCTTAAAACTTCAGGGATAAAGGTGCCATCTAGTGATGTTGCTACCCTAGTAATTTAGCAACAGACATGCCTTGAAGCTATAATCCAAAACTTCTGTTAAACACGGTCAAAAGTATGCCAACTGGTCCCCTCAGTTCCCAAAACACTTACAGAGTGTTGTTAAAATAAAAGGAGTATGCAACAGAGTGATAATCATGTCCCTCGACCATTTTTTAAAAAACATGTTACTGGTATGAAATTGAAATTAGGTAAATCATTTTCCAAAACAATGACATTTCTCAGGTTCAACATGTGACATGTTGGCTTTGTGCTTTAAAAAAAATAAATATGGGCTTTCAGTGTTTTGCAAATCATCACATTCTGGTTTTATTTACATTTTACACAAATTCACAACTTGGTGTTTTGATTGATTCAGGAGGCGTGCCAGATCCAAGGAATCGGAAAGAGGATGGCTGACAAAATCGACGAGATCATGGAGAGCGGTCACCTGCGGAAGATAGATCACATCGGGGAGGCTGTGCCTGTTTTGGAGCTTTTTACCAACATCTGGGGTGCTGGAGCTAAAACTGCACAGCTGTGGTACCAACAGGTGAGACAAACACACATGCTTAGAATCAAAGTTACTGGAAGGGCTGGGCGATATGACCTCAAATTTATATCACGATGAATTGCACATTTTACCTCGATAACAATTAATGAACGATTATTTCGTTTTTGATTTTTGCCCTCATAGTTCACTGACATGGTCTCTACTGTAAATAAGCTCAAATATTAAAGCTGGGATATTTTTTCTAATGAAAGAGTGCATATGCGATGAACTACTTTCTGGTTATTTATTGAATATTTCGAACTGAAATCAAAGCATCGCTTGAAATGAAAATGACACATTTTAGTTTTAAAGTAGAAATTAACTTGCTTCCATGTCACGGATTGGACGTGTCCTCGTGATTCTGGCCGGAAATTAATCGAAATAATCAACATGGGCAAGATTACATCGGTTAGAGGTTCTGAATGCCGGTTACGATTAATTTTTGATTAATCACCCAGCCCTAGTTACCGGTACATCAAGAATGAAATGGCATGTACTTACGTACTATATGGGTAAGCTCTGAGGTGACCTACTTTAACTTTCATTTTCTCTTTTAGATTAGAATCTTTTGTATCAAAGTGTAGAGATAGGTAGATAGATAGATAGATAGATAAATAAATAATTACATGTATTTATTGTGTTGATCCCTCAAATGCAGTTATCAAACAAAAGATATATAATGAATACAAGCTGGTTACTCAACTGGAAAATAACTGCTCATGTGTCACTGCTTTACACTCTGGAGAGTGATAATGCTTGTTTTTAATTCACCAGCACTCTCTGCTGGTCACAGCCAGAAAAAGAACTGCAAGTGTAATACAATGAAACTCATATGAAACACAATTTAACTGGTAAATAAATCTAGTAATATCAGTGCATATCTAAAATAAAATAGAAGATACCAATAGTCACTGGAAAAGCGAATATCGGCCGATATTATCGACTGTCTGATTAATCGGTCACGCTCTAGTAAATACAACAACATTTCCACCTTTGAGGAGTTCTAGTTGCTTTCTTTGTTTTCATAATGGTCCTGTATGTGTGAAACTATTGCTCCCGGTATGCGACGGTACGGTACATGCAAACCTGAGGGGATGTCCTCAGGTTTGCATGTTAGACCTGACTGAGTCTTCCACGGTGTTGACTGGCCTGCAATCACTCAGCACCCATTTAGCAAGCCATACTTCCCTTTTTCCATTTAGTTTCATCTACAGGTCTGTGGCGATTCGAACACTCCAAAATGCTGCTCTGTGATCAGTCTGATACCTCACCTGAATGCATAGGTTGTAGGTGGAATCTCAAAGTACTTCACAGATATTTAAATTGTGTTTGTCAAAAGGTGGATATTACTTTTCACTGAGTCGTCTAGGAGTTTTCTAAAGTGAAATAAGCCGCTCAACGGCGCAGTGGTGTTGTTATTTTCCATCTCTGCAGCTGCAGGAAGATGCTGCTGTGGATTGTCTAAATTGGGCTGCAAGGGACAACATAGCATGCAATTATATTTCTTATTCTGAATCTGATCAACACCATTAGAACAAAAAAGAACAAATTGATTTAAGATCTTAATTGCATCACGGTTAACGAGTTAAGGCCGACAGCCATAGCTGGGACATGAATATAATCCTATTTCAGTTAACAAAAAAAGCAAGGAGTCTATGGGAAGCAAATGTCTTCTTAAAAATATTTTCTTTCTTTGAAGATTCTCTTAAAAATATGATTTGCCTTTAAAGGGATTTCGCACATTGGATGACATCCGCACTAAGGCGCACCTCAGCAACACTCAGAAAATAGGACTCAAGCACTACGATGACTTCCTCGACCGCATGCCCCGAGAAGAAGCTGGAGCCATAGAGAAAGTGGTAATGTCTTCATGTGTCATTCTGGGAAGATGACTGAAATATGTTTGCATCTTTAAGTCGAGTATAAAGAGGTATGTTATCTTTAAAAAAGAAGAGGTCTCTACTTAAACCCACAGAGGTTCTAAAGCAGAGAGCTTGAAGTAGGAAAACGTTTGTTTCCGCTTTCCTTGACTGCCAGATGATGGAAAAACCAGGCTGCGTTCTCACAAAGTGGAGCATCCCAGAGGAGAAAACTCACTTTTCAATCGTGCTGCATCTTATTTTAGCCAGAGACCTGTTCACTCCCGAGCCCTGAGTACATCTGTAGTGGTTTTCATATTGTATTTCTTGGATTTTCCATTTACTAAGAAGCCAGATAAAAATTGCACATGAACTAGATTGTGAAAGCATGTGTGCTCCCTCTGGCTTGTCAAAGTAATGTGTGATGCTTTGGAGAGCCTGCTCCCATGTTTTTATCTGGAAACATGTCAAAGATTGCATGTTTTAAAAGTAAGAAGGGTATGATAAAAACAAGAGAACATGCACAGTAAACGCTTTTCAATGATTGAGAATCTAAAGATTTCTAAAAGCTCCATCACTCTTGGTAACATGATAAACTGTTCTTTGTGTCTTCTGGTGTCTTTAGGTTGTGGGTGCTGCCCATGCTGTAGACCCACACCTGGTGGCGATGGCATGTGGCTCCTACCGTCGAGGGCAGACAACATGTGGAGATGTTGATGTGCTTATAACTCATCCTGATGGCAAGTCCCACAAAGGCATTTTTAGCAAATTGTTGCAGAGCCTTCATGACAGTGGTAAGCTGGATTTTTTTTAAACACTATTGTCCTGCATCATATTCACGTTTGTTTTGTTTGTGTCTCTGATGGGAAATAACCCAACTGTTTTTTTGAAGGGTTTTTGACAGATGACCTGGTGAGCCATGAGGATAATGGGGAGCAGAAGAAGTACATGGGCGTTTGCAGACTGCCAGGACCGGGCCAACGCCATCGGAGGCTGGACATCATCGTAGTGCCCTACGATGAGTTTGCCTGTGCTATCATGTATTTCACCGGCTCAGCACACTTTAACCGCTCAATGAGAGCCATGGCTAAGACCAAAAACATGAGCTTGTCGGAGCACTCGCTGAACAAGGATGTGGTGCGTCAGGGAAGCTTGAAGGTGCATGGTGGCAGTCCACTTTCTACACAGACAGAGAAGGATGTTTTTAGTCTTTTAGGCATACCTTACCGACAGCCTCATGAAAGGGACTGGTAAAAGTTTTCCAGTCACTAAGCCAATCACAATGCCTTGTTTGCTTTAAAAAATGATGATGATTATGAATGAAAAGGATGCTGCTTTTATGCTTTTAACAACTGCTTTTAAGGAAATGTTACTGCTCAAAAGATCATGTAAGAGCTCTGTTGGACTTTATTGTATTTTTATTCTTCAAATCCAAGGGCTGGGTTCACTCAAATCCACATGTTTTCTAACTTAACCTCAGTAGTATCTGTCCCTCCAGTGATGTGGTATCCAGGGCCTTTTACTGGAGGGACAGTTTCTTCAGCAGATCATTATTAATTGAGCTGAGTAACTAAGAATAATTATTTAAAGACAAATTGAAACAGTTTTTTTGAATGTCAGTTCTGCAAACTTCCATTATGCAAAGCAGGGAGCAAACCTTTCAAAAAAGTGAAACATAGTCCAAAGACTATCGGCAGGGCTGGTTAAAGCTAGAGGAAAGTGTGAAAATATGTGGGAATGCACGTTGAGTGAACTGGTCTTTTCAAGATATTTTTAAAAAGGGAATGCTTGACACTACTTTGAAAAATAAATTATGATAATAAAATAACTTATGGGTAATAGAAAATGTATTTCTTTGCATCATTTTATTTTTTTAGAAATAGGCAGTACAACTTGGGCTGTTCATGAGTTTCAGTCTGAAATAAAAAAAAGTTCGAGTTATTCCTTGGAAAGAAAGTAAAACCTTTCTTCATGCACCTGTGCAATGTGTAAGCAGTCTCATAGGTTAGATAAACTTTAAAGAAAAGTTTCGGTAGAAGTAGATGAGGAGGACATGAATTTCTGTTGTTTGTTTTTCCACGAGTTCCCAACAAACTAGAGAAACTGGAGGAGAGGATTCCAGGAAGATAACAAGGCCATGCACTTGAGACGCACCGATCAGTGATTGGTCAGCACTTGCCAGCTGGCCCGGTTCATCCAATCACCGGTCAGTCCGCAACCCAGCGGCCATCAAGTCAACTAAACGCCCATCACGTTGCGCACATGGATCGGGTCGAGGTGACCACGCCACACCCAGCAGTCCACGGCAGAGTGCCTGTGCTGGAGGAGCGGCTTGTGTAACAGCTGTATCAGCCAGTGGCACCGACGGCAACCAGTTGCGCCAGCAGCTCCGTGCCTTGTTGAAATGTCCAGCGCGCAGAGGAGGCGGCGCATGCAGCGGCCTGCCAGCGCCACAGGGGCCGAGATATAGTTCAAGACATTCACACGTAGTTTGTCAAAAAAAAACTGTTTGCGTGCGTATGTTTCTGCCGTAGCTGTAGCCACTCTCTGGAGGAATGAGAGGCGTTTATCCGGCTCTCAAGATGGGATTGTTTTTGCACGCTGTTGGCTCTGTCACCCCCACCGAGTCCGCGGCAGACCGGGTAAGGTTGAGCGGGCGAAAACAAGGCTTTCACTCGGGGCTGTTAGCTAGCTAGTCACACAGCTAAGTTGGCAAACTTTAAAGATAGACGTCTTCTTGGCTCAATAAACAACAAACACCTTCGTTGTTAACAACACAGTTTTCTCAGCTGTTGTTAGTTATTGCAAAACAGTGACTTGTATGCTGACATGATAATGTTAACATGCTCAATAAATTCGTGTTTTAGCTCAAAGCTAACGCTATATGGTAGAAGTGAAGGGACGTGCGTGAGTCGGGGCCTTGCTCTGTTGTGTTTATGGTGAAGGGTTGACATTTTATCCACAAGTGAGTTGCATAAACAACGAAAGTAGTTCTTCGGGTATGAATATAACCAACTCGGGAGCCGTGAAACTAGGTTAACATTTACATGTATACAAGTTTTGTTATGCTATTCTCAAGCCAAACCCTCATAGTGAATGATCTATGCTGCTTTAAGACGATGTTAAAAGGTTGACACACCAGAAGTATATATTAGGGATCAATATGTTATGAACATAAGATTGTGCTCCCACTACTCAGCCATGTAAAAGTCATTACATTTATTTCGAGAAAGTCGGGTCAAAACTCGGTTATCATGCAGGACACATACAAGATACCACCTTCCTGGTTTTATCAGCTGTGAATGTGCTGAAATATCTGTGAGGGTTCTCGTAAGGATTAAAGGTTTAAGATCTATTGCTGTCTTAAGAGTCAGATATCAAGATACAAAGGCCACCAACTAATGGACAGAATTGGGTTTCAATTTAATTTTCTTGTGGAAAAAAAAAAGTAGTCTGTTACTTTTGTTATCACTTTTGGTATGTGTCACTAATCTGTTTGTTATCATTGTTCTTGTGTGTATCAACTGTTGGGTCATGAAACTTCACGTATTTAAAGAGAAAGCAAGAGCTGTTATGTGTTATGACACACCGGCATTATCATGACAGTCCTGACACTTTATTGACATGACGGAATATATGTGAATATACGTTCAAGAGAAACTAAATCCCTTCACCATTGCAATGTGTTTAACTATTAACTTCAGTCAACAGTCAAGACCTTGTCCCTTTTTCTCCAAATATAACCCTACATCAAGTATTAAGCTAAGAGGAGTGTTCTTTGACTCTCAGTTTGAACTTCCTGAAACTATGCACTGGTTACATGCTGTGGTTTAAATATTGCATCTTGTTGTTACACGTGCTGACGCACCATTTGAGTGGGTAGGTTGATGTAATACAATGTAATGTGGTCAGTACCTGATACTGATACTTGAAGATATTTGTATTGACCAGAGTGAAGGATATATTGATTTATCAATGAATGTGATGAGATGACTGTTCAGTGAAAACTTTTAGGGCATGCAGAGTGCTTTTGGTTGTTTCTAGTTATGTATGAATAATTTTTTGTGATCTTCCAAATGATGCTTGATCATGACATCCAAAATGAATGGAAAAGAACAACATAGGGGGAAGCTACTGGTATGGTAGGAAATGACTGGTAAAATGTGAAGCCACACGCACTAAACCTTGTATAAGGGCTTCTTTGTTTATGGCAAAACTCATAATCCCCATTATTTTGATTGATGATCACGGTTATTAAACACGTTTACTCTTTGATTTTACAACATTTGCCTCACATGCATTTATTAAAAATATATCAACAATCACTTTGAAACTTTTACCACACAAGACAAAAAGCCTCAACTCAGCATTAATCATTTATCTCCATTGTCTTGTTTTCATGGTCGTGGGAAGCCAAAATCGTCATCAAAATTGAAACTCGATTAATTGCCCAGCAATACTCACTAGGTAGCATGCAACTTACATTTTTTGGGGGTATTTTTTCCCCACATTTGATCTCTTCAACTTCACCATTCTGATCAAAGATCGACGCAAACTTCATTATAAACTACAAAGAAAACATCTGACAGAATATTCTGAAGGCTTTAGTTATAATTTAGAATGAGGCTGCCAGAAGTGTCTCCGTCACTGCTTTTTTTCTTTTGACTCAACAGAGATTAATATGTTATGAACATAAGATTGTGCTCCCACTACTCAGCATGTCGGCTAAAAGTCATTACATTTATTTCGAGAAAGTCGGGTCAAAACTCGGTTATCATGCAGGACACATACAAGATACCACCTTCCTGGTTTTATCAGCTGTGAATGTGCTGAAATATCTGTGAGGCTTCTCGTAAGGATTAAAGGTTTAAGATCTATTGCTGTCTTAAGAGTCAGATATCAAGGTACAAAGGTCACCAACTAATGGACAGAATTGGGTTTCAATTTCATTTTCTTGTAAAAAAAGAATTCCAATGATTTTTGTTATCACTTGTGGATGGGATCCCATGTGTCTCTAATCTGTTTGTTATCATTGTGAATTAACCCTAGAGACGTGAAACTTCACATATTTACCGTCCTGTTTTAAACATTGTCTCAGGTAGAGAATTAACGGTGTGAGATAATGGCTGAAAACATCATGTTGTCATTTACTGCTGCGTGTAAAGCTGATGGTGCACTGATACTGCGAGACAACAGTTTCCTCACATGGCCCTGAGCTCTTTCTGCTGTTTGCATTCACCGCTCAGAAAGTTCACACAACACACAGTCAGCTATAAGTTATCTGTGTTGCAGATTTATCGTCCGCAGTGATCACATGTTACTGTCAAACGTTGTGATAAACATTTCTCATTAGTTCCCTTTGTATCAGCTGTTTTCTGCTTCCCATTTTCCCCATTTTCCCCTCCATTTTGCCGTCGGATGCTGTGATTAATTCAAGGGCTGTTGGCTCAAACACTTTACAGCTTGTTTTGTTGTTTCAGTGTACAGCGGTTAGAAACAAAGCCCCATACTTACTATTTTTTTCATTTTACAGATTACTTTGATGTTGAGCTGGTAAAGTTAACCTTCACAGTCACATGACATCATGGGTCAGAATAATGGTAGCCTGTCAGCAAGAGATCCCCTTCATCCTCCATCACACAGTTATTACATAAATACTGTGTTTTGCTTGTATCTCAGGGAAAGTAGGGCAATATTTCTGCACGGTGGGGGTTCCCGGTAAAGGGTCAAATCTTTTGTAAGTTTTTTGGTTTAAATGAAGTGTTGACTTTGTCCTCTCTCTTACTGTTAATCTACCTGTCTACTTTTGCTCTGTGTGTGATACAGGCAGTGTTGTGGAAGTTGACTGGGGAAAGTTGTCCCGTACCGTGCTTAAGCGCATTCCCCCCCCCAATCCCCCCTCTATTCTGCACTCACACTGCTACAGGACTTACCAGGCCTGAGCACGGTTACCGCTTGTACACAAAGTCGTAATACAACACAAGCATGGCTTTACGTGATCATGAAGCACACTTAGTTTACTTGGAAAAAAAACAAAAAACACATGGCGGCCGTGGGTTCAAATTCGACCGTTGCCCTTTGCTGCATGTCATCGCCCCGCTCTCTCCTCCCAACATTTCCTGTCTCTCTCCAGCTGTCCAGTCTAATAAAGGAAAAAGGCCAGAAAAAGAATTGGAAAAAAAAAAAGAACTAACTCAAAGTGCAGTTCATATTAAAATGAACGAGTTCACGTTCAAAGATCACAATTTTAAAATTCTAACTAAGTTTACTTTCTAAAAAAGTAACTAGTTCATGTTCATTTTTTATATATTTATTTCTTTTATGATCTAATGAATATAAACTGTCAATAACAGCCCAAACCAGCCAACACAAATGTCAGTTGAGCTCTGGTTCCCTCCCTGCCATGTCCATGCTTCATTTACATCTTTACTTTTATAAGAAGCGGAAATATGACTTTAGTGACTATATATATATATATATATATATTTTTTTTTTTACTTTAAAATTCCTCCTAAATTGTGAATACCTTAAAGCTTTCAAAACATCAGTAACCCCCAGGAGTTCATTTTGAATGTTCCTCTGGTCTTTGACTAACGCGTGTGACTTCAGGACTCTCGTACTGTCGGCTTTAGCTTCTCTTTAGCCTCCACAGTTTTGTGTGAAAGCTTGATGGTTGTAATTTAATATTAACTACTGGAGTTCGGTTTACCGCTTGTACTCATGAACACACGGTATGTTCTTACTCTCAGATAAAATCGGGCGCTGTAATGTTGTTGAACTGACCTCTTTGGAGCAGCACAGGCCAAGGACCAAAACAAACTAGATGTTTATCTGTGTGTTTGGGGGAATGTTTGGTATGAACCATTGCTAGATGTGCCATGTTTTGTTCTTGTAGTAACCTTGATAACTTTGAAAGAGTGCTTTCTTTGTTGCACAACAGAATAATAAACACGGGGTCAACGAGGTCTTTGAGCCCATCAGCCAACCGGCCGAGTCCTTCAGGTCTTTGCCAAGTGGACCAACTCTCGATCTGACTAAGAGCTGTTGTCACTAATCTCCATGGAGAGTATTTGATAGTCACCAGGGGAGTTTTGAACAGTTTTCATTGTCTGCTTGTTTCAACAACTTTCAATTACTTAGGCTGATTAATATCCAATTCAGCGTCAGTTTCTGAGACAGTAACCAAATCTGCTTTAATAATCTGGCAGTGGAGAGGAGGATCGTTTCAGTTCACCTCTTTGGATGGGAGACAGAGGAATCCAGTCGCTCCAGATTCTTTGCCCGATCACTGTCTGTATTATAGGAAAGCCAAGAGGTAATACATACTGAAGGGTATTCTCAAATGACTTAGATATCTTTAGGTGCAGCCGTTTGATTGACATGTTGTTACCTAATTTTCCCAGCTACACAAGTTAGTTATGTTTTGCGAATTAAATGGGGCACCTTTCCTTTATTATGGCCTATTTCTCAAAAAAAAAACAGCCCAATCAGTACTCTGCTATCTTTAAGCAGCACAGGCCAAGGACCAAAACAAACTAGATGTTTATCTGTATCCAGTTGCAAAAGAAGAGCTCAGCCTGCCAAGTCGGGAGCATAAGGCCGAGAAGAGTTAGTCAGTCAGTTGCTGAAGTAGTAAGACAAAGTGTCCATACAGAACATCATGTGTTTACACCAGAGAAAAGATATCCTTGTATCTTGGCGTGGGGCTGTAAGAAAAGAAACCGGAGCAGTTGTTGAGAAATGATTCATTTATCATATTTAAGGTTGTTGCCACACTTAATGTCAGCTGTTTGGTTTGTGCTGATCTGGTGTGTCTCGTGTGACGAATCATTCCTGTGTTTCTCACTGCTTTTCTTCTTGCTGCCCCCCCCCCCCCCTTGCCCTCACACTCAACACACCTCTCACCGCTCGATACGCCTTATTATCCTGCAGCGGCCCAGCTTGGAGCTCACCGTCCGCTGCTGCTTGTAAATTTCCGCAAAGCAATGCTTGTCCACTGTTGGGCCTGGAGTAGAGTGGGCTGAGGGAGAGAGTGTGTGTGTGTGTTTGTGTGTGTGTGTGGACAGAGACAGAGGGAGAGTGAGAGAGAGAGGGAGTGAGAGTATGTTTCAGAGCTGTTTGACTTCTTTCCTCCGTGGGATAATGAGCCATTAGCTGAGGAGACTTCCGTGGGATTTTTGAACTCCGGATCATCATGCTTCACGATCTGGGACCTGGACTGGTAATCAATATAGAGAAGAATCATCTCCCTGCAGACCTTATTTTAAAAGCTTTTAATCAAGCTTACATCTTCCTGGAAATCTGCCTTTCTCATGCGAGCCTATTGATCACACTGCTTTGTTATCTGTCTAATCTGTGTCCTTTCCAACTCTCATGGCTCTGATGGATTCACTAAGTCAGGTTAATGTGTGGTTAGGCAGCTGCTAGTTTACTGTATTAACAGTAAAAACATGACATGGTCTGGAGTGGAGATAAGTGCCTAATTGATTTAGGATAAATGGGGCTGTTGTGTCAAACACCCTCGGATGTTTTCAGAGTCCGGTCCAGGCGTCAGCTGAACTTTCAAGTTGAAACTGTGTATTAGATGATGGGGGAACACTGAGTGTTTTGGTTTTTTTTTTTGCTGGCTGAGATTCAAACATTTGCACTTGATATGGGCCTGAAACAGTCATGAAATTCTAGCAGCTTACCAGCACAAGTGGTTAGGACTTGTTTACTCCAGATTCAAAGCTAAGTATAAATGTTGGCTAGTAGATCTCTGCTGTGTGAGCATTTCTTTTGACATATGTACCCTCCATCTTGAACTCAAAATATTACAAATGTCTCCCAAATCAAGAGCTGTGATATTTCGTTGATCTGTAAAAAACAAAAAACATATGCTGGTTGGAACCTCTTAAATGTTTGAATTTACTGATGATCTTTTTCATTTTAGATTGTAGATAGATTGTCTGGGTTTAGGACCGCAGGTTGAAGACAAAAAGTAACTTAAACAGGTCACTTTTTGTTCTCTGAAATTGAAGAAAAAGTACTTTTTTTTTTGTCTTGTTTGGACTGAAACAATACACATTGGCAAATTAGCACATTAACTGGTTATGAAAACAATCATCAATGTCAGTCCTGTCCAGGTCTACTCTACCACATGATATTTATGATACTACACTGTTGTGAAGTTTCCATATCAATCCTAATTTGTATAGTGCCAGTTCACAACAAATGTTATCTTAAGACACTCTACAAGAAGAGCAGCTCTAGACCTTACTCTTTGTTTGTACTATTCACAAAGACCCGACATGAATCCATCATGAGCACAGCATGAAGCAACATTTAACAAAGAAATCTCCTGAAAAACTCATTAGCATTGATATAAAGTAAATATTGTCATTATAGTGTCGTGTAGCGGACTCTGGTTGCTTTGTCTGCTGCTTCTGCATTGTTTTTTTACCTTCTTACCTCAGGAGGAGATTCTCCAGAGCTGTCCTCCCGAAATTATCTAGATATTTTCCGCAGTACATGTTTGAAAACAGCTTAAGAGTGGCAAGAATTTGTTTTGGTAAAGGGTCATGTTTACGATCGTTTCACACCCCATTTTCTTAAATAACAATCTGTGAACTGAGGAGACACACTCCTGACATTTTGAAAGAGTAATGTTTTACCATTCTTACCTAATGTAGGATCTGTTGAAAAGTTCAGGGTCCTCTTTGTCTTTTTTTATGCCTCAAAATGCTTGAAATGTTTTTTAGGGGGAGACCAATAAGGCTCGACCGATACAGGATTTTTGGGGCTGATACCGACATCGATATTAGGGAGAAAAATAATCCCATACTGATATATCGGCCCATATCTCTCTATCATCTTCGGCGATTTTTAGATCTGACTGGTGAATATATCTTGAAATATTGCCACGTACCTTTTGATAAAATTAGCTGATAGTCACTGATATGAAAATATCGGCCGATTTTATCGGCTGTTCGATTCGCTCGGGCTCTAGAGACTATACAGGACTGCAGGAAGGCCGTTTGTATGAATGTTTTGATATAATAACCAATCTGTTTTATTTGAGACTGTTACCATTGTTCCAGTTTTAGGAAATGGGCTTTTGTATACAACTCAAATCTAACACAGAAACATGTTCATGTATGGAAGTGGAACACGTGTCTCAGCACGCTGAAGAAAAAGGAACAATATGATCTAGTCTAGCAGAGTAAAGTGAAGACTGTGACATCATGTGTTAGAAACAAACGTGTCGTAAAAATACCAATAAATCCATTTTAGACTTAAGATTTTACACTTAATGTTCGGATACATGATTTATTCATTGAAAGTTGCGATGATGATTAAACATTAAAGCCACTTTGTTCCTCTCTTTCAGAGCCTTCTGCACTGTGACGGTGTAAACAACCAGACCTACATCTGTGAGTCGGGACACTGCTGCGGGGAGTCTCAGTGCTGCAGCTACTACTATGAGCTCTGGTGTAAGTATCCTGCTTTGCCTTCTTTCTTATTTTTTCTTTAACCTTTTTAAAACCTCCCTCTATCTACCAACAATATTCCAAACCCACACAAGCACAAAACTCATGAAAACCTCCTGATATTTGCAGGACGAGCTGCATGTGTGAACGCATACAGCAGAGTTTTTTACTCAGACTTTATCCAGAGTTTCTCCAGCCAGCCCCCTAGTGTTTTTTCAGCAGAAAGTCTGAGTGAGCTGATGTGAAAACGCAGCAGGATATAATCTGGAGAATTTACCTCGAGGGAGTGGGAGGGGTTAGTGACGTTTATTCTCTGTGATCGACCATAGACTGTCTGCACACGACCGCTACGATGTCTGTGCACGTGATCAAACTGCTGCATTATGTTCTCTGTTCATCAGTATGTTCCCCTCCACTTTTTTGTTGATACTGTGATTCTGTATGTTTGAAACTTCTGGTTGAAATTATCAAGTTCATCTGAACAGCTGCGTCAAAAAATGCAAGTGAAAAATAATTTGAATAGTTCCTAGCTGCCCTATTTCCTAGTCAAAACTTGTCTAAAGGGAAGAAAACAGTCACATTTTGCACAATTTATTTTAAATCATCTGCGAGGAAACAATGTAATATTGTTTGCCGAGTGTAGCTAACGTTAGCATCAGCAAGTATGAGCATGAACAAAGTAACGCTGCTGCAGCAGCAAAGAAGAGAGACGAGGTGTGGGAGAAGATCACTGCTCGAGTCAGCGTGTTATTTTGAAAATGGTCTATTCATTTAATTTTAAATGAATGAGGAAATTAGGTGTGTTTCCAGCTCTGAAAGAGGGAGGAGACAGAGAGAGGAACTCTGGGTTCATTGAAGAAAACAAGTTTGACAAAAGATTAGATCAGGCTGCAAAGTTAACACCAGTTGACCTTTCGTAGTTTTATGTGAAATTAAAACCAAGAATATAAGAGGGCAAATGTAAACACAAAAAACTTTAGTCAGCCTCTTGACTACCATAAATAACTGTAGAGTGGAGGTCTGGATGCATTTTAAAAAGCGTACCTAAAGCCTGGCCCACACCACAGGAGTTCTCAAATCCCGACCAATTTTGAAATCGAGAAGCAACACACACACGAGGAGAATCTCCACAGATATTCTTCTCCATTATCTCAAGCACGCACACACTACAAAGATGTGAAAATCATGACACATCACATACTACAGGATTTAAGATTATTAAACCCGACTGAGGTACGCACCACCTCACTTCACCTCGTGTAAACAATGGAATCGATTATACAGCACTGCTGTCTTCGTGGTAAATAGTAAATGGACTTGAGCTTGTACAACGCTTTTCTAGTCTTCTGACTATTTAAAGTGCTTTTTACACCGCAGGTCACACCTACACATTCACACGCTGATGGTAGAGGCTGCTTTGTAAAGTGACCATCAGTGTTAACTAATCCCATTCATTCACATTTATATGCTGCTGACGAAGCAACAATTCAGGGTTAAGTGTCTTGCCCAAGGACACATCAGACATGTGGTTGCAGGAGCTCGGGTTCAAACCCCAGCCTTCCGGTTGAGATATAACCGACTCTACCACTGAGCCACAGCCGTCCTGAGGTGTGGAGGACATTTTGGACTCTCATAGAAAATTAGGAATAATTCATTGGAGTCCTTATGAACGCGCAGCAGCAGCAGAGACGCATTATACTGAGAGACACCATGTATTATAGTTCTACTTAACACACTTTCTTTACTAGAGACATAGGAGGCGGTGTGTGAGTGGGGTGTTGTTTTTGTTTTTCTCTGCCTGTTTAAACTAAACTTTAGATTGTTTAATTTCATAATAAAATCCTTGTAGAACACTCGGCCAATTGTCGACATTAATTGTTAATTGTTGCTCTTTATTTTACTGCAGGGTTTGGCTAAAATATGTAATTTAAAGACATTTTTCCAAAAGTGAAAAACCCATGTGAACATGTGACAAATATTGGGTTGCTAAAAAGAGAATGTTTTGGGACGCACTAAAATTCTCTGGGTGCTTTGTCAGAGAGATAGGAAAAGATCCTATGCAATACAGTTCAAAATGCAGCACAGAGTGGAGGGTGTGTTTTTCACTGTAATACAAGCAGATGTTGGCAGTATTTGATCTGCAGTTGTTATGTTTGTATTAGCAGCAGGCACTTTGTTACATCACCACAAGCTAGAGTAGCATTTTGTAAGTGCTCTACTGTACATTTCACGTACCGTTAACACTGTTCTGATTTCTCTTTCACTTTAGGGTTTTGGTTGGTGTGGGCAATCATCTTCATTCTTTGCTGCTGCTGCGTGTGTCACCATCGCCGCACAAAACACAGACTGCAGCAGCAGCAACGGCAGCACGAGATCAACCTCATCGCCTACCGGGAAGCACACAACTACCCCTCTGTGCCCTTCTACTTCAGTAAGTGCTATGATGAATGTGTATCTCCTGAGGTTGTTGCTTTTTCCCCCTGTGGATGTGCATGTGTGTGTATATCAGCCTATGTGTGTGAGAAGCCTGTATCTCAATAACACACTGTGAAAATTGAATTTCCCCTTGTGGGATCAGTTCTTTAAAAAACAACTGTGCCTACCTGCTAAGTACAAAAGAAAAGACAACAGTCAGCGGCTAGCAGGTGAAAACATTGGCAAAAAAAAGCACAAGAAAAAAAGAAACACTGCTCTTGTTGATATTGGCCCCAATTTGCATGAAACCCAAAACATCTTCCAACATAGATCACTTAGTACAAATCTGAATACTACTGTGTAAGCATCCATTCGGTGTTGGTCCAACTACTGTTAGAAACATGTATAGCAAGTAGTACATCTTGTACACTAAGATAAGATTATATAACTAGGAAAAAGATCCAAATAACAAGTTGAAAACTAGCAGAGTGAAATGTTCCTTAAAAGTATCGCAATGTATTTTTCCATGTTGCTTCTCTCTTTGTAAGTCAGCACAGGTGAATAACTCAGCCCTCCATGTCAGATAATAAGGTTTTAAGTATTTATCAATATCGTCTTCAAATTTTACAAACCCCATGTAATGGTGCGTTCTATTTACCTTGAATCTTGGCGCTGGGAATGATGCCACACCCGAGTTATTGCGTGAGAGTAATAGTTAAGTCAAACAAGCAACATGGACGCCTCCAGGAGTACCTCTGTTGTGTTGGCTTATACCTGACATTAACAACACAATAGTTACAGCTTAAAGGGGACATATTGTGAAAAACCACTTTTACAGTGGTTTTTCACAATTTTCACAATCCTACAAACTCATCACACACTCCTGCTCTCAGCCAGTGCCTGCAGAGACTGTCGTTTGTAGGATGGAGAATGAATACAGACACACAGACTCCTTCACAGACTCTCACATGTGTATGACCACTTACCTCCTCTGTAAACATTATGCCGGTAAATATCCAGTGTTTCATGGCCGATGATGATGCTCGTTTGTGTACGTACGAGCACGTATGACGAGCACGCGAGCGAGAGCGAGCAACAGGTTACTGGTGCAGTTCGCGTAACGGCCTGCAGTGTCACTACAAACGCAGTATTTTTGAAAGTTACATATAGCCCCTTTAAACAATACTGTTGATGAACAGAGCGGCCATGTTGGATTTGAACTCAGACTACTGAAGTTGGTCTGAGTTTGAGAGTTGGAATTCCAACTTCAGGGGGGCGTTCCTGATGAAGTATCAGACCATCAACTCGTAATTTCCGACTTCTGAAATCAAACAGACTTATAGTAAATCAAGCCGAAACAACAAAGCGGCACAGTTAATTTGCTGATACAGTTATTCTATCGTTTCTTTATCCTTAAGATTCTGCATAATCAGCAAACTTCTCACCCTTATTTTACGACTGGTGTAAAGAGTCTATACATTATGTTTTTGCTTGAGCCCATTACTGGGCGTTGCAGCTCAGAGTATGACTCAAACCTGTGTCAGATGTGTATTATTTGTGAGTTGTTGTTGACCAGTTAAATCTAGAAGACATTTAAAACCAGCAAAAGTTTAGGCTCAAATGTGACATTTTCACTTGGATGTATCTCTGGTTCCACACAGCGTCAGAACCATCCCTGTTTGCATGCCCCAGTTTTCAGGAAACGGCCACTATTGCTCTCTTGGTACCTCGTCAGTGTTGCAACACCATCTCTCACAACAGCCCTGAGCACAAAATTGACCCAGAAATGAAACCTTGTTTTGTCACAATTTCCCCCCTAATGCTTTGGGAATGCTTGACTGGTGATCTGGCAACTTCAGAAAGGTCATACTGAAGTTTTAGGAGTCAGACGGTGATGTTTATTTAAAGCAAAAAAAAAACAAAAAACATATAATTGTTTCTTATGTAGATTTGCCCTTTGTTGTACTCAAAACTGTTCAACAAGCCCCTGCAGACAGCACAGGATACAGGAAGGAATCTGCTGTCGGATGGGGTAAGCAGGGAGGGATTTACCAGCCAGGAGAAAAGAAGTGGAAGTGGGGACGACACCTGCAAAGACCCCCTCCTGAAGGACCTATCAGAGGGTTGCGCTGAGGACAAAGATCGACTCCCCATTGGAAGGAAGAGGCGATTCACAGGGGACTCTGGGATTGAGGTGTGTGTGTGTGGAACACGTGGGAGTAACAGCTTTAGTGGAGCCGGAGGGACGGGCCAGGAAGGCAAGGAGTTGAGGGAGCTCGAGAGCTTGCTGGGACGTGAGGGAGATGACGGGGGGGAGGCGGAGGGGGAGGAGGAGGCCGGCGACTTCTGCGACAGCTGCGGTCATCGAGCCTCCTTCGGCGTAGAAGAGGAGCAGGTGCTGTGCGGGCCGGAGAGGCGGGGAGCACGTGGGCCTTCAGTACCTCCTCAGCCGGTTCACCAGATAGGCAGCGCTGCACTCCACCCCCCGGTGTGCCTCCTCCTGCACACCATCAATGAGCAGGAGGGGCCGCACCACAGCACCAGCACTGAGCCCCAGGGCTGAAGCACACAAACACACACACTTCTGTGTCACAGAGTGAAAGAGAGAGCACTTGACTCAGAGCAAGGAGGCATAACCTTTTGTCTGAGCAAGTTCGTCTCATCAAAATACTTTCTCAGTGAGTGTTTTAATGAATGTGTGCGTCTTCGATTAAACAAGGATGGGAAGAGGAAGTGGAATCTCAGCTAAATGAGTTAGATAAAATTGTTGAGAACGCCTGCTCCTCCCCACACTTTACTGGTGGCCTTAACCTGTGTATTTTGGGTTATATTTGGGAAGTACAAGCCCTACCACAACCTGTGGCAATTAAGACTTCTCCCACTACACACACACCACACACACACACACACACACACACACACACACACACACACACACACCACACACACCTTCAGTACACACACACACACACACCTTCAGTCGTCCTTTTTATGCAACGAAAGCTACCGATACACAAAAGCTAAAGCTTTGACTTCAGGACGGGACACTCACTGCCCAGTCTGAATGCAGCTCTCCTCAGCAGGTGCTTGCAAAAAATTCTGCAAAGCTGTTCTCTGCTGGCACACACACACACACACACACACACACACACACAGAGAGAGAGTGCAATGTGGATTTTCCACAGAGTGTGCTTAAGAAAACTGACACTGTACAGGGACACAAGAACAAGACTGTGTGGAAGGTCCCATTCGACTCATGCTTCTAAAGTGCTTCTTCAGCGATTTAAAAACCGCCCTGCCTCGTGTTTTTGTTGCTCTCTATCGGCCCCGCTAGTGAAAGAGAAATATAAGTGCATTAATAAATCTTCATGTCAGCAGTTCTTATTTTGCACAAAATGTAAATATGTTTGTAAAAGAAGCTTTTAGCTACACAATCAAAAGAGAAAATGTGTAATTTCTTAAATTCAGTCTTAACTTGCAGTACATGATCAGTCTTTTAGGGCTTTGTTGCAGCGTCCATGAGAAACGGACCTCTGTGAATTGCCAGTAGGGAATGCAACAGATTCACTTTGTACACAATCATTTTCTAAAATTAATGTGATGAATGTTTGTAGTATGTGCCTACCCTCCCCCACCCAAAAAAAAGTAGAATTTTCACGAACAATGATACGCATCAGTGAAAATGACCGACTACGTCAAAGCAGGTACCAAACCCAGGAAAAGAATATTAAGCTATTTAGAGATTACACCTGAGATGGGCAACGTCAGACCTCAAACTTTGTGTCAGTCACTTCAGTAGATTTCCACCATCACCAGCTTCACAGTATAAGAACATGTATTCAGTCATTGATTCACTTAATACCACGCATTTGCAGTATTTATTAATAAAGGCTTCCTCCACAGTCCTTTAAGGCTGATTGCAGTTAAGTTGGCTGTGTAAGTTTCTAAAAAAATATGGCTTGTTGGATTTTTATGAATGGATGACCCGGCCAATCTTCTGCATTTGTGGAAGTCTAAGACATGAAATGCATCTTCAAAGGAGAACAAATCAGCATATGTCTTTATTGGATTATCATCATTTAAAGGAGATCTATTCTGCTGATCTGTGTTAAAATACATACAAATAATGTTACAATGTTGGATTTTCATACTCTGCAACGGTTTTTTTTTAAACACAAGATACACAGTTGTTGGTGTAATCCCCGGACGTGGTTTCCTGCTGCTCTGAATGAGACATGGCCAGGCCTAACAGTTGATCAATCTGCAGATGATTAAAGTAAAGCATGGAGTGAAGTTGTAGGGCATGCTCCCAGCTTTATTTAAATGTCCCCGCCTCTGCAAAAAGAGCTGGCCAATCAGCAGAATATGGGCATGTGGGAAGGGGAGGCCTTAAAAAAACAGTAGCTGAAATGAACAGTTTCAGTCAGAGCCTGAAATGTGAGATTTTACTGACACCAGTATCAGATAAATAAGGAGGCTTTTGAGATACGCTACTCAATAGGCATCACAGACTGACATAATTAATGCTGAAAATGAGTTTAATAGATCTCCTTTAAAGGATACTTCACAGTAAGGTATTTACAAAGTTGTTAACACCATAACAGCTGTTTGTAAGGAAACAGCCAGACTTTTCTGATATACATGTTTTCTAATATAAGAATTTTAGCTAACTAACATTTTTAAAACAAAAACTAATTAACGGTTGTAAGAATAATCCAAAGCAGCAGAAATCAAAGAAGAGTAAGTTAAGAATCAGACTGCATTATAGAGTGACAGGTTTGTATGTGTTCTTGGCTATAAATAATTAAACGTGTGTCTTCTGTAATGGACACGCACTTCAATTTAACGAGCAATATTTACAATGCACTGCAGATAGAAAACAAAGACCAAAAAGAAAAACACTCAGCGCATTACAATCTTAAATAAACTTCCGTTGTTGTTCAGTCTCATCAGTTGTAAACACCTTTAAGAGCACAGATGTTTAAAATCCAGAGATGTTGATTAATGATGAATGTGCCATGAAATATTTCTGCTGTGTCAAACTCTTCCAAACTGATTTGTTCTGTTTTTTTTTTTTTTTGTTTGATATTAACTGGAGCTATTCAATTTGACGTGCCACTATGTTGGGCTAATGTATCGCCTCCGTAATGACTTTCCTTGGCAACACACTCTAAACACATTTTAATGTCTGCAATGCATAAATGTTTCAGTCAACAGTCTCACTTATTCATGTACACCACCAGAAACCGTTTGAGAAGAAGATGTCTCCCAAAAGCACAAGTAGAATTGTAATGTGAACTTTCTGTGTTACCAGTAGGATGCCTCATTTTATCAACCAATGCCTGAGCATACTCTAAAGTGCTTTATATGTTCCTTCTTTGTGTGAGCTGGAAAGTACCAGTGTGTAACTGTGGTACATGTAGTACCAAGATGAGCTATTTTTCATATCAGCCGAATCCTTTAAAAAATTATATTGAAACTGTAGAAAATTTCAGAACCACTTTATATTTCCAAATAGTGCATTATATTCTGTAACGAGTTGGTTGCTTTCATAGTTTTTTATGAAATCATTAGCTTTATTGTGATGGACAGATTTATTGTTCTCTCTCATTATGGGTATTATTCTTTTTTTTCTGTCAAGAGAAAATGTAACTTCTTTTGAGAATGATCCTGAAGTTATGTGAAGGGTACGTTAGACTAACAAAACAGTTGAAGACTTGTTAACAAGATCAGGGGCTTCTCGCCAAAGACACGTTTTCTTTCTTCACAGGTGCGTGTGAGGTGGTTTTGCACATATTCTTTGAATGTTCTGATCATAAGCCATTTATTAAAACAACCGAGATGGATGTATGTTCAATAAACATGCCCTTTTAAATTTGAGATGACTCTTGTTTTAAAAAACAAATCGTACACGTATTAGCACACATGTTAATTGGTCTTGAGAAGAAAAGAGGATTTGAAGGAATCATTTCAATATGATCCTTAAAGGTCCCATATTATGCAAAATACACTTTCCCATGTTTTTCTAACACTAACGTGTGTCCCTAGTCTGTCTATAAACCCTCCAGTTATGAGAAAAGTCCATCCTCTTGATCTTTTGCCTGCTCCACTTTTCAGAATATGTGTGCTCAAACAGGCCGTTTGGAGATTCTACCTTCATGACATCACAAAGGGCAGTAACCCCTCCCCAGGTGGCTGACACTCCCACAGCTAGGTGTTTGTTTGCCCTGAGTCTACCTTTTCAACTTAAACAATTGAGCATGCTGCAAGAAAGCCCCAGTTACCCAAGCCTGTCCATAGGGGCGTGGTCAAACACAGCTCATTTGCATTTAAAGCTACAGACCCAGAAACAGCCTGTTCTGAGCAGGGCCGACATAGAGGGTTTTTATTATAGGCATGATCAAATACGGATCAGAGTGGATTGATAAAATGAAAAATCACAGACATGTTTGGGGTGCTCTGAGACTTCTTTAAACTGGTTGAAAAGGAGAGTAATGTGTGACCTTTAATGTCGATACATTTTGAATTCAGATCAAAATGGAGGGATCACAACAAGAGTATTCTGAGTAGCTGACAGGAAGTTATGAATGTGATGAGATGCCTTTTAGGGTGCAGTTCTTTAGTTGGAAAATAAATACAGAGTATGGTGTTTAAGGATGGATCTAAGGAGACAAGAGAAGACCACATTTGTCCTGCAGGTTCCAAAGAGTGCAGCAGCACTGAGTAATCAGGAAGTACATGAACTGTATACTAGAAAAAGAGAGCATGAGAGGACATGTTGAGAGACAGTTTGAATTACCAGGCAAAGAATTCAGGAAACTGAAAAGGACCCTTGGCATGAAAGGGAGGCATCCAGCTGGACTTTTAAACATGGGCAGGTACCAGAAAAACAAACAAACAGAATATGTACTTTTTAAGTATAAATACATGACAAAGGCAATTCAATTCATGTATCAGGACCAACAGTAGCATGTTTAAGTGGAGTTGTGTTAAGTTGTCAAGGCAACGAATGTCAGGAGAAACACTGCAGGATCTATCTACCTCCAGAAGATGGCAGTGGTGCAAGACCAAGGAAGCAAGCTGCCATAAAAGCATAAAGGAGACGAAGAAGAAAACTGTCCTATATGGTTCAACTGTGTTCCTAGGATTTTAATAAAGTGTAATAAAAAAGGCCGTGATGTCACAGGACTCATGACCTGCTCAGTCTGTGTACACTGTACAGAGTCGAGCTAGCGTACAGCTGCAGGGAGGACTGTGACAGAGCAGGTGTTGACTTTGTACTCGAAATAATGTCTGGAGAAAAGAGGTAAGAAACTTCTAAGATATGCAATGTAGCTGTAATCATTTTGTTTGCATTTAGCCTACTTATAGAGCTAAAGATGTGACGTCATGTCCAGGCTATGTTTGGTGTAGCCGCCCTATAACGTTAAATTCACACTGCTGTCATTTATTTACGTTAGTCAAACACTTGTTTGCTTACTTAATTTGCTCTTAATTTTGAACGTATTACATAGTTTCCATTTGCCAGCCAACAGTGAGTGAAACGTACGTCAAGTAAAAGTTATCATTAGTTGATAATGTAGCCTATAAACTCTTTTGCAGCGCGTGTGCCAAAGGCTTCGTTGATGGCGCCATTCACGTAGATGTCAAGGTATCATTTCACTGTACATGTCTAATATTTCTCATTAGTAACAAATTGTATTTTAATTGTTAAGGTGAATACTAATACCAACGTAGTTTTACAGATCTGTGGCCTGTTCTAAGCCTCTTTTCAATCTTATTTAGGTCACTTAAAGTGCATTAATGAATAACAACCTACTGGTTAATCATTACTTTTTATTACTCTCCAATAGGATTATTATGGCAAAGTGCTGAAAAACACTTCAGACCTGAAGACCAATGCCTGTGTGGCTCCGGCCAAGCCCATCCCCGCTTTCATCCGTCAGGCTTTGAAGAAAGTGCACCCTGAAGTCATTGCCAGGTTTGTTCTAATCTCTGCTGTTGCTTCAGATATATCTACACATCAAACATCTCTCAGCCGCACACAGCTAAAATGGTTTCCCTTTGTCTTCAGGTACTATGGCTGTGGTCTGGTGGTACCAGAGTGCTTGGAGGACTGCAGGATACTGGACCTGGGCTGTGGAAGTGGGAGGGATTGCTACATGCTGGGTGACCTGGTGGGGGAGAAGGGTCATGTCATTGGCATCGACATGACAGAGGACCAGGTACTGTTTATCAGCATCAGAGAACTTAATTATTACACAGATAATTATAGTGAAAAGTACAGATTTCTTTCCTGCGACAATGGAGTGACGCTTTCCTCGGTCTTGTGAAGAATAGCTTTCTTATTCTGGACTTTTACGAGACAAATTATGTCCCTAAATATGTTTATATTTACCAATAAGACATTGATTCAACTTCAGATGCAAATACAACCAAACATTATGGTTTGGACATGGCATCACACAGTTGCTCAATATGAAATATTCACCAACAGAGAGACTTCATACAGGTCTGTGTTCTCTTCTCTAGCTCGAGGTGGCTCGGACATATGTGGACTATCACACAAAAGAATTTGGCTATAAGAAGCCCAACGTCAGTTTTGTCCAGGGCTACATTGAGGCCCTTACAGAAGCGGGTCTAGAGAAGAGCTCATTCGATATCATTATGTAAGAAGCCTTTCTTGTCTCTCTCGGACTTTGTATTTGAATGCTATCTAATTGTAAAATCGAACTTTTGTTGAATGTTGATTTTCTTTTTTTTTAGTTCCAACTGCGTGGTGAATCTCTCTCCAGACAAGAGGAGAGTGCTGGCTGAAGCTTACAGTGTGCTCAAGGTATACTGACCTCCACTTCTGATAAAAGCCTATTAAACATGACAGTAATGCTCTGACACATCTGTATAGTTTGCATGGATAATACTTACTGTTGGACTGTTTGTCTTTAGGATGGTGGTGAGCTGTACTTCAGTGATGTCTACAGCAGTGAAAGAGTAACAGAGGAGATTAAAAATCACAAAGTCCTGTGGGGTGCGTCAAATTAATATCCAACTGCAATAAAAGCTCACAGACATTTACCATAAGGAATGACTCAATGTTTTTTATGCTGGCAGGTGAGTGTATTGGTGGAGCGCTCTGGTGGAAGGATCTGCTACAGCTGGCTGAAGAAGTTGGCTTCAGCCCACCACGTCTGGTCACAGCGAGTGTCATCACAGTCGACAACAAAGAACTGCAGCAAATTCTGGGTTTGCTACAATTTTTTTTCATTTGTCTGTTTTCACACATGTACTCCTGAATATATCTAGACAACATGAGGACTGAATACCCCTTATTCACATATGTCCCTCACAGCGTGAAGTTTTCTCTATCAGAGGGGAGGGGGGAGGGTCTCAGGAGGCAAGACATGATGTAAAAAAGAGCCTGAGGAAATCAAAGATTGCAGTCAAAGCAACAGAGTCCAACACTAAAATGCCTTTATACCAATGCTAGGTTTCATTGGACATTCATGAACAAACAAGCAGAAAAGATCGACTGGAAACCAGAAAAGAAGATGAAGCTGTTTTATGATCACACTGGTAGCTCATTCGTCACACGATATAAATGTCATCACCTCAATCCGCACACCCATGGTCAATATTCCTGACTTGTATTTGCTGCGTTCACATATCTGCTTAATGCGTACATTTTTACAAGGGGGGTGGCAGGAAAAATTCCAGGTAAGGTTAGGGTGGAAAATGTTGGTTTTTGCATTCACAAATGCTAGTCACTCTGAAAATATTTAGAATTTCTCAGTAACTTCTGAAAACAACAGTAGTGACTTATTCATTGCTGTTTGTGTTTCATTTAGCTTTTCTCAGAGTTGGGTGCAGTAGTAAGCCTAAATTAAAAACCAGATGAAACCTGTTGCACAAATGTCACTATTTTAAGACTATATTTATGTTTCAACCCTCTTTTTACTTAGAGTTTGTATTTTTCTTCAGCTCACAATAATCCAAAAACTCATTGATTTGACATGCCTCGCACCATGGCTGTCAAAGCAACTGTTGTACCGCCCTGCTTTCAATATTGACTAAAATATTTGACATGTTGTTGTATTTTTGTCTTTGACATCAATCAGTTTTTATTTGTATAGCACCAGTTTATATCAGATGTTATCTGAACACACTTTAGCAGGTGTAGAACATATTTACATCAGGATGTTGACAAAGCTTTGTAATTCTGAGGCCTTAGGATGAGATGTTACCAGTCAGTGTATTATTTTTCAATAGAATCTACATTAAACATTTACAGTGAGAGATTTAAAACTCTTAATTGTTTTATATTTATATTATTGACGGTCATCTTTATAAGATACTGTATATTAGGATGTTAGAGTTAATTTATATTTGTGCTGCACAGCTCGGGTTACAGTTAAATGTACAGTAAACTGGGTTCTATCTAACACGTCTTTATGGATTGTTTTATTTCAGTGTTGACTCTGTTTAATTCATTGACTCTCTCTTACCTCTTCTGATAATACAGGTGACTACAAGTTTGTCTCCGCCACCTACCGCCTGTTCAAGGTGCCTAAAGGCAACGCCAAGTCCTGTCAGGTTATATATAATGGGAACATTACAGGAGTGGAGGACCGCTTTGAGTTTGACTGTCAGCACACGTTCAAGGTCTTTGGATCCTGCAGAACAAGAACAGTTTATTTAATCAAATAAAAACAATGTATGCAAATGATGTCATATGTGGGTGTATTTCACAGGTAGGTGAGGTGGTGGAGGTCGATGCAGAGCTCGCCACCATCCTGACCCATTCCAGATTTAAGGAGGACTTCACTTTCAAGCCACCTGGAGGCCCCTGTGAGCCCTGCACAGTCAAACCTAAGGTCAGTGTCACAGCTAATTCCTGGATGTGGAAATGTCTCTGTTTTTTTGTTTTGTGTTGAGCGCTAAAGGTCAGTTTGTGTGTGGTGTCGGTTTCAAATGTGTGACACACCCAGAGAGCCCCACTGCCTCACTGTGCACTGAGCTACACACACACACACACACATACGTGTGCAACAGGACGCTTGCTGCAAGATCTTATACACACACAGACTCGCATACCCACTCAAACATACTTACACACACATTCACACGCACAAGGTCAAGCAGCTGTCTTGGAGTCATAACCAGACTGTGGAGTCATGCTGGGGAACCTTGAACAGGGAGGAATGTTCTCTTCTCAGCTAATGGAATGCCATCTTATCAGTTCTCATGGTCGTTCTGTGCACACATACACACATACACACATCTACAAACAACACTTTGCAGTTTTAAAACACTAACAGAATTTTTCCAGTAAGTTACATGTTATTCTCCAGCTCGGGGGATTGCTGCTTTGTTTATGCAGAGCAAAGAAGTTAATCCAATTTCTTTGCCATTTATCAAATTGTGTTCCATTGTTTAACCTTCGGACCTGCCCTCTGATGTGAAATAACGTGCCAGAGATACTTTTCTCCAATCAACACACCTGGGTGGTGACAATAGTAACAAAAGAGTCTATGGTCTGGTTCATGAAAGCACAGCTACTGGGTAACACTGATTTAATGAACAACCAGTGTTGAGGCACGTGCATCAACCTGCATCTTAAAGCTCAGTCTAAAACTTCTATTCTGCTTATAAATAATGTTCTGCATAACTGGTGTTTATGTTAGATTATTAGGAAAAATTAGAATTCATCCTGAATTTTTATAAATTCCTTATTTGACTAAATGGACTCTTAAAATACCACGTATAAATGTTGCCTGGATTCAGGCTGTATATTCCTGAGGGTTTTTTCCTTTTTGAACTTTTGTCACAGGCCGGCGTTGTGGATCCTTTTGAACTGGCCTCACAGCTGGAGAAACCGAGTCCAGGATCAGCCACAGGGGGGTGCTGCAGCACAAAGTCTGCATCCTGCTGCAAGTGATGGTGGGAAGAGCACTGTGATATACAGGCCCTGCATATTACTGTGTATGCAGGATAATAGGAACTGACCTAATTATGCCCCGTGCTTTGTCATTGTGTTGTGTAAATGAATCCTTACTCAAACATTAACATGTGTCTTACTGATTTATGGTGCACCTTTGAAGACAATCTAATTTGCTTTTAAATATGATTTAAAAATAACTATTTTGCTTCATAAATCATTATGTTGGTTTTGTACCAAGGCAAGCCAAGAATTCCCCAAAATGTGAGACTTTTACTTCATCTTGAAAAGTCTTGTAAATTGTAAGAAACTGTATTTTTCTTCAGAGAGATCTTCTCTCTGAAGAAAAATATATCCATGTTATATCTATCCCATTCACGCCTTTATTGGGACTTTTCCCACCATTGCCTTTAAAAGTGACCCCACGGTGTAGTAACTCTGATTCTAATAGTTTAGTTATGCTGCATATTGACTGATTTTGTACTATTGTGAGCTATGCAACAGCTTTCTAATGATCATCTGTTATAAATAATGTATGTTTTAATTGTTGCTACGAGTAAATGTTGTCAATCAGAAAAGTGTTTTGTTTTTATTTGCATATATATACATATTTATTTATTGTGGGTTCCTTTCAACAGAAGCATAGACTACGCCTTTGGACAATAAATAGTCTGCATAAAACAGCAGGAGGATCTGCATTTGACTTAAAATGATGCCTTTAAAATTGTTCTTGGTGAGCAGACAAGCCCTGTGAAATGATATACTGTTACTATGATTGACAATTAGTGAGTCCCAACACGCCATGGGTCTCCAAGATAAATCTTTGAGGTCAAATTAAAGTTATATTTTTGTTCCACAGAATAATGGATTTCTCTGCTGATTTACTCTTTTTTTTTTTCTTTTCCTTGTGAAGTCAAAAATCTTAAAACTCTCCAAGCCTTCTAAAATTTTCCAGGTTAATAAAAACAAAATATATCTATGGTTGAATTGATTTTAACACCCACCTAAAAGTGATCCCCATGGATTACTTCAAAAGTTGACAAAAGTAAAAACTTTTCGATTTTATTTAAATCCCATTTGGATCAATTGTGCCATAAGCATGCTCTTAATAAATCATTTATTGCACTTCAATACAGCTAAAATGAAGTAGCCTATTTGAAAACAAAAACGTTGGGTTTGAAAATAAATGTTTCATGTAAAACAAAAATTATGTCGATTATATTTTAGAACTTAGTGCTCCACACATGTTCATCTTTATTTACTGATAACTTTATTACTTAGTAATTTATTTTAATTTAAAAATGAAGTTTGTAGAAAATCTGTTTTTAAAAAGTCACGAGTAGAGTCCTGACTGTCTCTTAACATGAGGTGCACTTGTTTTGGAATGTGATTCGCGAAGGAGGCTGCGTACGCCCCGCCTTCCAGCCAGTGACGCGTTCTGATTGGTCGCCGCCGTCGCCTGTCTTGGGGACATCAGGGGAGGCACGAGTTGGCCCATAAGCCTGCGCTCGCGAGTCATCAGTGTCGGACACGTAGTGGGAACGAACAGGTCCCGATGCACAAGTCACGGCAACCCTCGGCGGAGATGAAGGCGGACTCCGACTGGCTCTGAATTTTTAAAGCCTTTTTCATTCAGGAGGTTGGTTGCCAGTGGTTATCAATATGGCAGAGCCGTCATCCCAAGAACCCACCGCTGCAAAAATGGCGTCACTTAACCGGGTCCGAGCTTTGGCGATGATTTTCTTAACTGTCACTGGCTGTTGTGTCACCCCGACAAGTGGCAAGGAAGGGTCCGAGGAGACCGTCATCATAGGGCTGCGACTGGAGGACACGGACGACATTTCTTTTATGGATAGGGGCTACCTGCGGGTGAGTGAGCGGTCTCGGGTGAAATTAAGAGTGTACGGGCAGAACATCAACAACGAGACCTGGTCCAAAATTGCTTTCACGGAACATGAGCGGAGCAGGACGGTCGGGAGCCTTGACAGCTCCTCGGGGGATAACCAGAGCCAAGAGGACTCCTCCGGCTTGCATCCCTGCGGTATTAGGACTTCGGATATAATTATATTGCCCAACATCATCCTGAGTCGAAAAACATCCGGAATAGTTGAAATTGATGTCAAACCCCTGCGAAAGACGGAGAGGAGTAAATCGTATTACCTTTGCATCGCCACCGCGACACCGGCCGTGGCCGGGATGCACGACCCTTGGACGGAGAACACCTGGATCTACCACGACGGGGATGACACTAAAGTAATCGTGGTGGAGGAGAAAAAGTTTCTGCTGCCTTTCTGGCTCCAGGTCATCTTCATCTCCATGCTGCTTTGCCTGTCGGGTATGTTCAGCGGCTTGAACCTGGGGCTCATGGCTCTGGACCCCATGGAGCTCCAGATAGTGCAGAACTGCGGCACGGAGAAGGAGAAGAATTACGCCAAAAAAATAGAGCCGGTCAGGAGCCAAGGGAATTACTTGCTTTGCTCGCTCTTGCTCGGGAACGTGTTGGTGAACACCACGCTGACTATTCTGCTGGATGATATCGCTGGTTCCGGGTTGATTGCGGTGGTCATGTCCACCATTGGAATAGTGATTTTTGGAGAAATTGTGCCACAGGCCATCTGCTCCAGGCATGGCCTCGCTGTCGGCGCCAACACCATATTCCTCACCAAGTTCTTCATGCTGCTCACCTTCCCCGCGTCCTACCCGGTGAGCAAGCTGCTGGACTACCTTCTGGGACAGGAGATAGGAACCGTGTACAACCGGGAGAAGCTTCTGGAGATGCTGCGCGTCACGGACCCCTACAACGACCTGGTGAAGGAGGAGCTGAACATCATCCAGGGCGCGCTGGAGCTCAGGACTAAAACCGTGGAGGACGTGATGACACCACTCAGAGATTGCTTCATGATCCCTGGGGATACCATCCTCGACTTCAACACCATGTCCGAGATCATGAAGAGTGGCTACACGCGCATCCCTGTGTACGAGGGTGAGAGGTCCAACATAGTGGATCTGCTGTTTGTCAAGGACCTGGCGTTTGTGGACCCGGATGATTGCACCCCGCTGAAAACCATCACAAAGTTTTACAGCCACCCGTTGCATTTTGTGTTCAATGACACCAAGCTGGATACGATGCTGGAGGAGTTTAAAAAAGGTGAGAAAAGCTCCTTAGAGGAACCCCCTCTTTCCTCAAATATCCACTTTATTATTCATTTACCTTTTCTGATCCCATGCGAGATAAAAGTCTTCTTATTCGTTAAGCCTCTGTTGACTCTTAAGTGACAAAGGTCATGGCACCTGACCTTTCACCTGTCCACCCTGCCCCTTCTGATGAGGCAGTTATGTAATAGTATATTAGAGGTTATAGAGAAAGCCACAGCGTGTCCCTTTATACTGATTTAATCCCTGTGGTCCCTGAGTGAATCCCAAACACTTTAAACTAGGGATGCACAGACGTGTTGGTAAACATCTGTATATCAGCCTTGTTTACAGACATCGGCCCATTGGCACTTGATAAGTCGCCAATGTGTATCTGTGCTGTGCATTCATTTAATGCTGGCAAGCTAGTAAAGCCGACCGTACTGTGCTGATAAAAAAACAAAAAAAGTCTTTATTGTACAGAAAAGTTACCCGTTGGACAAACTCTGTTTTAGTTTCCAACAGGAGGAACTATTCACAACAGTCTGAACACATCCAGTCACACAGCTAATCTGACAAACACACACAAATGATTATGAAGGTGTAGTGATGCAAATATTGTCATCTTGATCGGCAATCGGCTAAATAGTTATTTTACAGATTGGCACTGGCCCTGATTTTCACAACCAGCCGGATCTCTACTTTAAAATTCCAGGTTGTGATGGAAAAAGAAGAAGAACATGGCGCTGTTTTGGCATTTCTAATCAAAGCAGTGAAGCAGCCTCATCAGTAGTGAGGTGAACTTAACACAGCCTCAGTGGTCACTTCCTGTAGCGAGGAGGAGGGAGGAGGTGTCCTTATCTTCCTCCATCGCTTCCATTCACTGTTAATGTTCACACAGTTTCTCTCTCTCTCTCTCTCTCTCTCTCCTCCTTCTCTGTGTCTTACTTTCCTCCTCTCACTCCTACCCCCCCCCCTCTCTCTCTCTCTCCCCCCTCTTCCTCACTCTCACACTCTGATTTGTGAATGCATTAGGGGACATGTGGGAATGGTGCAACGGCGGTGCTAAGGTTATCAGGTGGGGGCATCTTGTTTGAGAACCTGCTTAAATCCCTCTCTACCTCTCTTGTGCTTGCCTCTGAATGATGGTGGCGATAACTCCTTTTGTCCAGCCCTGGAATGCAGTCGTGTGGATAATGAATAACAGCCTCTAAAACCCTCGAGCCCCTCGTGTGTTGCGTGTGTGTTTATGCGCATGGTGTTTGTGAAAGATGTTTACCTCACCCATGGTTTACCTGATGTTTTGCATAGCCAACCCCCTCTCTGTTCTGGCCTCTGACTAAGGTATTCCTGGCAGTGTTGGAGGATTTGGTACCAGTTTGTTCTTTTAATGTCCTATAGGTGTGACCTCATGATACATTAGCACACCTGCTCAACCCCTGAGTCATCAATACTTTTGGGAAAAAAAAGCACGGTGATGCATTGCGTGCAAATGAGAATACTCACTTTGCTTTAAGCTGATTAATTGGGTGTAAAAACAGAACAAACCATTCAGCTCCATTACCAGAAATTAGGTTTAGTTCCAAATGCCAAATTAGCATTACATAATACACTAGCTGTGGGGGTTTGTTTGTTTTCATCACACTCCATTATTTACAGAAATGCACTTGCAGCATAAAACATCAATTCCACTCGATTTTCTTGTTTTTGTCCTTTTTCAAACAGAGCAAGTGAATGTGACACTGTGACATGTTCAACTCTATTATCACAATATCATGATCAGCAAATCTGACCCGAGTATCTCTCTCATATCTCTACATGTGCTAGTCCAAGAGGATTGTGAACATTTGATGGAGGAGATGTTCTTTCTTAATGTTCAAGTTCAACACCTGCTTCTTGACCTGTGGGTCAGATGTTGGTCGGACAATGAAACAGATAGGAGTGGACACATTTTTGACCATATTACAGGAGTATCAACAGAAAACTTTAAAATTTCAACAGCAGATTGAACATAAAGGCAAAGTGAAGTTTTCACTAGATAAACAAGAGAACTAAGCGCTCTGCTGTGCTGATGCGCGGTCATTGACAAATCACAGTTTAATACTTCTACATTGATCAGAGCACACCTGTTGTGACTCTGGTGTCATGTTTGTGTTATTCTCTATCAACATATTGCGTATTAATGTAGAATCTAAAGGGCGAGGAGAAAAGGTTATAGGCCGTTATGATGTTCGTTTATAGTCTGAGTAATTTTGTCTTGGGCTTTAGCCAGCTTTGGTTATTTAAACACTGTGGAGAGCATAAGAGGCAGACTCCATCCAAGTAATCCCATCTTTCCTCCATTTCATCTCTTTTCTCACCTCTCAAGTTGATAGTTGGATCGTAAAGATTGTTCACAGTGCTTAGAAAGAAGGAACTCTCTGCCTTCATGGCGTCCTCTCGTCTAACTAGTTTACTGTTGACGACTGAAAACTGAGGCCAGAAGCTCTGTTATTCTCAAACCATCTGTAAACATTCTTAAAAAGCATGTCTGTTGTAGAGATTTAGTTTTGTTTTTTTTGCTGATAGAAAAAACAAACATTTACCAAAGTGTAGGAAAAATTGGTTCAAAATGATTATTGCCATACTGTGCTTAAGGCAATATATCGTGATTTTTAAGTCTAATTTATGACAACAATCACCTCACAGTATGCATAACATCTGTTTGAAATAGTTAACCAGGGCTTGTATCTTTGTAACATCCAAAATCATAGTACTACTTTTTTTTTTTTTTACAAGGATTTATTGAAGGGCTTTCTATGTCTATATTTAGATAGGACAGTGATCGAATAAATGGTAAAGCGCTTTTCTAGTCTTCTGACTACTAAAAGCATTCACACACTGATGGCAGAGGCTGCTATGTAAAGTGACCATCAGAAGGAACTAATCCCATTCAAACACATTCATACACCACAGACAAAGCGGTGGGAGCAACTGGGGTGTAAGTGTCTTGCCCCAAGGACACATCGGACATGTTGCTGCATGAGCTGGGTATCGAACCCCCAACCTTCTAGTTGCAGTTCTGCAGTTCTGCAACAGCCAACCCTAAGAGTCAGAAGTTAGGGACAGAGACGGTGGGTAATGACACGTGAGAAAGAAGCCACAGATCAGATGTGAACCTTGGCTGCCAGCTTCAGGGACCACAGCCTGAGGGCGCGCGCCCTAATCACTTGGCTACTAGCACCCCATAGCACTAATTTGAGCAAACAACTAAACAGTTTTCTGTATCAATACAAATATATAAAATAACTTTTAAACTATTATTATTGATACAATGTGTCATACAGCGTTACCACACTCTAGTTTATTGTTCTACTTTGCACTTCTTTCACACAGACTGAATAATGACCTCTATTTACATTTCACAGCTTGTTTTTGGGACACTCCCCTGTCTGTAGGTTGTTTGGGTTTGACTCCTGCTTTCATCGAATTCCTTGGTACATCAAGGGTCACCCCCTTGTTTTGTACAAATGATGTATTTTTCTCCTGGGTCCTGTCACAGGACAAAGTAATGTCATCAGCCTTTGTGCTCACTGAAATCCTTATCTGTGAGTTTAGGTGGAAATGTTCGATTCTGCAGTCATTATTTGTGGCATTTGTTTTGCACGTTAAAGGCAGAGTTAGATATATTCACCAGATCCTGATTAAGAATGTTGTTGAAATTGTGTTTAGGTCCTGACAGAAATGAATAAGTCATGTGCTCTGAAAAATGAACATTAAAAACCTGTCATCTTTAGGAGTTGTGAGCATTTAAAGACTTGATTTGTTCATCAAATTGGCACCTTATTGGTCTGCCACAAGGTACCAACTTAATGAACCAATCATGCCTCCCTGTCTCCCTTCTGATTTTCTACCCCTTGTGTGCACTAGCTCACAAGGGTTTTTCGACCAACCCTGCCTTTAACAGACGCACAGTTTATTGTCCTATTATGATATCAAGATGATACTTATGATTTGATGATATCAGTTTTAGTCAATAAATCATCTCTATTACTACTCTGAAACTTGTTAAAAAATAGCCGGAACCCGTTAACTGGGAATACAATCTATACTGAGTGTGTGATGACAGAAGATTCAAATCAAGGGACAACTCGGTGTTGTTAATGGTTTCTATTGCCTCAGGTTGATCTGTACTCAAGATTTGATAGGATTTTAGGAATATTGTATGTTTCCTCCCTGTGAAATACAAAACATTGCACATCCACATTATGCCACTATCATGCAGACTACATTAGTTCATCATACAGGTGCAGCTATAAAGTAGTTGCTGCGGTTGGCCCAGGCCAGAGGGAATTCGCCTTCAGCCCCTCATGGAAATCATAAGCAACGGTTGTAGCGAGGGGCTGCAGGTCAAAGTTTCCCGTCAATCTGGCTCTGTTCGCAGCACACACTCAGTTCAAAGTGCTTTGTATTCTAAGTCACTGTTAATTAATTTGATGCCGCTTGCAGAGCTGCACAGACGTCTGAAGTCTGTTACAAAAAAATGCTCATATGAGAGACTGTGCAGCAGCATTGGATATACACTTCCACTAAGTTTCTCTTTGTACATTTGGATTTGTGCGAGATGCTTATAGGTGCCTATTTGCAAATTTGCAACATGAAATAATGGAGAATTAAAAATATGAAATGCTAAAGGAAACATAGAGGAAGCTGTTTGGTTGTTAGAATGATTTAAAGGTGTACTGTGAGGAGTTTTATCTGGTTTTCAAACAGACTGATATTTATATTAATGTCTCCGTATGACCTACAAAAGCAAACAAGACCATCAGTGACAAGGTAGATTTTTTTAATGCCTGAAACTGCCGCCGTAGGGTAGGTGTCAGATGACTGATTGACAGCCTTTTTCTTTCTGGAAAAGATTCTCAAAGAGTGATACGTTTGACTGTTTAAGAAAGCATGGCTAGATTATGGAGGGTTAGAAAATCAACACAAACCAAAAGTTACTCCCAGGAGCTTTAAATACTGTACTAGCTCAAC